CAAAACGTTCTTGGCCAGCGATTCGATGTGATGAAGCCGGGCAAGCATATTCTGGTGAACATCCCTCGCGGGAGGCAGACACGCGCATTGCTTCGCGTTGAGGCGGATGCGCGCCGATTGGGTGGACATTGCGCGGAAATGTATTTTCAACAAGTGAACGTCACAGGGTCTTGGGCAGAGGTCAAACAAGTTGGAGGGTACCATTACGACGCATCGCAAAGTGCAGTCGAGAGTCCATCATGGACTACCCTTGGTGCGGTTCAGCTGAAAGTCGTTCATGGACGCACGGACAGTGGACTCCTGTATTTGAATGTGTACGTGAAGCATTTAGGGCGAGCAGGTTTTGCCGTCGGAGGCTTGCTGGGTGAAGACGACCACAAAGATGCCATGACTCCCCAAGCGGATTGTAATAGGCCTGTGTCTCTGTCGGAAGAGATTGCGAGCAGCGAGGCTCCTTCTTCCGTGTCGTCAGTTGCAATGGCAATGTTCGAGTGACCATACGGGTCATGAGCAAATGCCACACCATATTTTGTGTAGGCACAGGGCGCGCTCCTTCTGTGATAATATAGGCGCGTTCCTTCTGTGGTAATCCGTAAGGGCTTCGCCCCCTGCCGCCGGCCCCCTCTCTCGGAGAATGGGCCATGGAAGAGCTAAGTCATGAGGCCTTGGCGCTGTCGTGAAGCAGTATCGAAACTTCATGCGAAGCCGATTCGCAATCAGCAAAACCAACTGATCACAAGAGGGGTTACCACACCTGGCGATTGGTAAGACGTGTATGGTTTACGGGCTTGGTTACCACACCTTGCGATCAAAGAGCCGAGGGAGTTCTCGCAGTTTGGGTTACCACGCCTTGCGATGGATGTGCGTGAAGGGTGGCACAGAATTTCAGAAATGTGGCAAATCACATGTGTTTTTGGACCCTGACCCCGCGGATCTGCGTAAAGGGGTGGCGCCGAATTTCAGAAATGTGGCAACTCTCCTGTGTTTTTGGACCCTGACCTCGCGGATCTGCGTGAGGGGTGGCACCGAATTTCAGAAATGTGGCAAATCCCATATGTTTTTCCCCACATCCTAAGTGGGGTTCTTGTTTTCTCTGCACACCCTCCGCGCAGGATCTCTCGTCCTCCTCCCTCTCCTCTGCTCCTTTTTGCTTCCTCCTCCGCATCATCATCACCATCACCATCACTCCCTAATCATCATCATCATCATCACCATCAGCATCACCATCACCATCGCACGATCACTCACCATCATCGGCATCGAACGATCATCATCATCATCATCATCATCATCATCATCATCATCATCACTACTCGCTGACTCACCACTTCGTCCCCATCATCATCACCACCATTTACCATCATAATCGCACGATCACTCACCATCAGCACTCATCATCACCACCATCATCATCATCACGTCGTCATCATCACCACCACCACCATCATCATCATCATCATCATCATCATCATCATCATCATCATCATCATCATCATCATCATCATCATCATCATCATCATCATCATCATCATCATCATCATCATCATCATCATCAATCATATATCATCATCAAACACCGTCGTCATCATCCCATCACCATCATCCACCAAGAGGGAGCCTCGTCTGTGAGTGAATTGTGAGGAAGTCTCAGGCGGGAGCCCCCTCCCTATGGGGCCCGCAGATCATGTTACTAATCCGAGCGGGTCATCGGATTCCTGTAACTGTCGTCACTTTTGGGCTCCTCAGGTCTGAATTTGGAGGAAGTATCAAGCGGGAGCCTCGTCTGTGAGTGAATTGCTAGGAAGTCTCAGGCGGGAGCCCCCTCCCTTGGGGCCCGCAGATCATGTTACTAATCCGAGCGGGTCATCGGATTCCTGTAACTGTCCTCACTTTTGGGCTCCTCAGGTCTGAATTTGGAGGAAGTATCTGGCGGGAGCCTCGTTTGTCAGTGCATTGCGAGCAAGTCTCAGGCGGGAGCCCCCTCCGTATGGGGCCCGCAGATCATGTTATTAATCCAAGCGGGTCATCGGATTCCTGTAACTGTCCTCACTTTTGGGCTCCTCAGGTCTGAATTTGGAGGAAGTATCAGGCGGGAACCTCGTCTGTGAGTGAATTGTGAGGACGCGTCAGGCGGGAGCCCCCTCCCTATGGGGCCCGTAGAGCATGTTACTAATCCGAGCGGGTCATCGGATTCTTGTAACTGTCGTCATTTTAGGGCTCCTCAGGTCTGAATTTGGAGGAAGTATTAAGCGGGAGCCTCGTCGGTGAGTGAATTGTGAGGAAGTCTCAGGCGGGAGCCCCCTCCCTATGGGGCCCGCAGATCATGTTTTTAATCCAAGCGGGTCATCGGATTCCTGTAACTGTCCTCACTTTTGGGCTCCTCAGGTCTGAATTTGGAGGAAGTATCTGGCGGGAACCTCGTCTGTGAGTGAATTGTGAGGAAGTCTCAAGCGGGAGCCCCCTCCCTATGGGGCCCGCAGATCATGTTACTAATCCAAGCGGGTCATCGGATTCCTGTAACTGTCCTCACTTTTGGGCTCCTCAGGTCTGAATTTAGAAGAAGTATCAAGCGGGAGCCTCGTCTGTGAGTGAATTGCGAGCAAGTCTCAGGCGGGGGCCCCCTCCCTATGGTGCCCGCAGATCATGTTGCTAATCCGAGCGGGTCATCGGATTCCTGTAACTGTCGTCACTTTTGGGCTCCTCTGGTCTGAATTTGGAGGAAGTATCAAGCGGGAACCTCGTCTGTGAGTGAATTGTGAGGACGCGTCAGGCGGGAGCCTTCCTATGGGTCCCGCAGCTCACGTGGTTCCTCCGGGTCATCCTCCGGCGCGCGTTTCCTCTGGGTCGTCATCCGGCGCGTATCGGCTGGGACGCACGTCGTGCGCTTCCTCTGGGTCGTGTTCCGCACGAGGACGAGGAGGAGGAGGATTGCCAGGAGAAGGAGGAGGGATGATGCAGGACGAAACAGGCATCTTGGGGCCGTTTTGGGGGCCTCTTGGGCCGTTCTGGGGCCATCTTGGAGGCATCTGGGGCGATCGTTGGGCGATCTTTGGGCGATCTTTGGGTTTTTTGTTGGGCCGTCTCGGGCCGCCGGAAGGCTGAAAAGAAGCAAATGTCACACTCCGTCAAAAACCTAAGGGAAATCTCTGTTTTGGGCCTTTTCATGCCTTCCTGGGGGCCCCCTTGGAAGCCTCTTGGGCCGCCTTGGGCCAGCTTCGAGCCAACTTCGGCCATCTTGGTAGGCTCCTGGCCCGTCTGACGCCGTCGGGAGCCGTCTTAGGGGCCTCTCTGAACCGACTTGGGGCCCTCTTGGGGCGCTTCGGGGCCGTCTTGGAGGCAATATTGGGCGTCTTGGAGGTCTCTTGGGCTGTCTTTGGGCCGTCTTGGAGGCCTCTTGGGCCGTCATGGGGCCTTCTTAGAGGCCTCGTGGGTGGTCTTGGAGCGATATTGGGGGCCTCTTGGGCGTCTTGAGCCGTCGGGATGCCGAGACGACGCAAATGCCAAAATCATTCAAGCACCTAGGGACAATCAATGAATTTGGCCTCTTTGGGCCTGCCTGGAGGGCCTTTTGGAGGCTCCTTGGGCCGTCTTGGGCCGTCTTGGAGGCCTCCTGGGGGCTTCTGAGGCTGTCTTGGGCCATCTTGAGGCTATCGTAGGGCGTCTTGAGTGCATCTTGGGCCGTCTTGGAGGCGTCTTGAGGCCATCTTAGCCGTCTTGGAGGCCATCTTGGCCGTCTTGGAGGCATCTTGGAGGCCATCTTGGGCCATCTTGAGCGGAACATCCGACGAGATAGGCACCCTGGCGGGACGGGCCGACGCCCCAGGGGGAGTTCCCCTGGAAAAAGAACCAACGCCAAAACCGATAGGTGGACTGAAACGATGGTGCCTTTTGGGGTTCTCGTGGTGGCCCTCTTGGGCCGTCTTGCGGACCGGACCTCGTAAGCCATCTTGAAGCCATCTTGGACTGTGGCGGGGTTACCTTGGGCATCTCGATGTGTTCTTGGATTGTTTCGGCTCCTTGGAGGCTCGGGAGGGCCCCTGGGGTGCTTTGGCAAGCTCGAACCCCCCCGCCCCTCCCACCTCCCCCCTCTAATGAGATGTTTGACCCCAGGGGAGGGGGGAAAGGGGGAGAGGGGCAGCCAATTATCTCACACGCCTTCTCACCGCCAGCAAGCGGGGGCTCGGCGAACTCTTGACGCTTCGCGCACCCCGAAGCCTATCTCAAAACGATCGCCAGGCGAATTGCCTTGCTCAGGAAATTGAAGGACCATGCATTGGAACAGAGAAGTGAATCAGGCGTCAGGCCCAAGCTCGGAATCAACTTGAGCAGACCCAGGAAAGAATTTGCTGACCCTTCCGTCGAAGGGGTAGGCTGCAGAGGAGAATCTGGAGACGGAGGAGGGGAAGGAGGAAGGATCATGAAGAGATAGGTGGGAGGAGGAGGAGTAACAGCAGGAGCAGGAGGATGATGAAGTGGGAGGAGGAGGAGTAACAGCAGGAGCAGGAGGAGGATGATGAAGGTGGGAGCAATGGCGACGACGACATGAACGAGGAGGAGGAGAACGACGACGACGTCGTGGCCTTCTCTTGGCGTCATCACTGAGGGCCTCGATCAAATTGAAGGCAGAGCCCAAGTAATCTCATCCCACTATCCTTTGCTCATCCCTCCTGCCCCCCTGTTCCTCCGCATTATCATTCTTTTCTGCTCCTCCTCATCCGTTCCTCTCCCTCGCTTTTTATGCTCCTCCCTGCTCTGTCCCCTCCCCACTCCCTCCCCATTCTCCTTCCTCTCCTCCTTCCCCCTCGCCCACCCCCTCCTCCCCACTCCAACCCTTCCCCTGTCGTCCTACTCACTCTGCCCTCCGACGACGGCCACGATCACGTCGACGGCGGCAGCGGACGGTGCGACGTCCACGGCCACAGCTACGGCGACCAAACGGCAACGACGACGACGAGGACGACGACGACGACCTCCGCACGGGGCGCTGCGCGGCCGCCGAGGCGTGGAGCAAGCCGACCGAGGCGCGGGGAGGGGTGCCCCTCGTCGTGCCTCTCGGCCGACCGCCTGCCCGAGCCGCCGCCGCCGTCAGCGCCGCCGCCGCCGATGAGGAGGAGGAGGAGGAGGAGGAGCATGGGGAGGAGGAGGATGAGGAGGATGTGGATGATGAGGGTAATGAGGATGATGAGGATGATGAGGGTAATGAGGATGATGATGAGGATGCTGAGACTTACGAGGATGACGGGGATGACGGTGACGATGATGATGATGCTACTTATGTTGTTGACGATGATGCTGGTGATGATGCTGATGCTGATGCTGTTGATGATGATGATGATGATGATGATGATGATGATCATGGTGATGATGATGACGACGGCGATTGTGGTGGGAAGTATGATGATGTCGAGGATTATGTTGGTGTTGACGATGGTGATGCGAATGATACCGATGATGCTGCTGAGTATGATGATGAGTATGATGATGCTGATTGCCATGCTGATGATGATGGCCATGGTGATATTGCTGAGGGCCATGTTGATGATGATGTGGGTGGTGGTGATTCGGGTACTAATGATGATCATGCTGATGTTGATGATGGTGATGGTGAGGGTGATGATGCTGATGATGCTGATGATGCTGCTGATGATGATGATGATGATGATCCACATGACGACGCTGGTGAGTTTGATGCTGATGATGATAGTGGTAACGCTGACGACGAAGACGACGCTGACGACGACGATGATGATGGTGATGATGATGGTTATGATGCTGACGCTGATGATGATGATGATGATGATGCTGACCATGCTGATGAGGATGATGATGATGATGATGATGATGATGATGATGATGGTGGTGGTGATGATAATGATCACCATGGTGATGGTGGTGGTGATGATGCTTGTGGTGATGGTGATAAATGGCGCTGTTGAGCTCTTAAACCACAAGCATCATGAGAGTTGCTGGCCATTCGATCAGCTGGCCACTGTGCAGCTTGGAGGAGGGGCGGGGGCAATTCTGTTCAACCAGGTCTTTTTTATACAGCAGTTCCCCCTCACCTCTTTCGGGCTCCTGTGCCGCTGTCGCGCCCCACTGACCATCTCAGATATTTTGTTCTCGAGATGCGGCCAAGGGCGTCCAGGCTGTTCACGTTCGCCCCCCTTCCTGGCTGGGCTCGCCTCCGGTCCAGCCTCGCGCCTCCATCGGGCGCCCCGCCCCTCGGCACTGGGGCGCCGCCGCCCGATCCTCCGCCGGCTGCGGAGGTGCCGCTGGGGCCGGGGGCGCCCTCGGTCGAGGACTGCGCCGTCTGGCCTCAGCCCGCTGCGCCGCGTGCGGAGCCGACCGTCCGCAACGAAATGAGCATCCCGACCCCTGTCCGGGGGGGGGGGGCAAAGATGGCAGGTTGCGCACTGTTTTTGCTGGAGGCACGCGCCCGCCCCTGGCTTGAACGTTGCCGCACCTCGTTGGGGGAGGTAGCAACTTGCCGAACTAGTTATCTGTTTGCTCGTGGCTCGGGCGCGTCGTTTTGCTGTGGCGCGCGGAGCAGACACGGTTGCGCCTGGGCGCGACTGCGGGAACGGCCGGCGTGCGTCGTCGAGCGAGTTCGGGGATCAAGTTTTTCATGTGGTTTTCCTGGGGGCGCGCCAGGGCGCGAAGTGTCTCGACGCGCGGGCGCTCACGGTCCCGTGGGGGCCACGGGTGTTTTGGTTTGGGGGTAGTTTGTTCAGTTCCCTTGGGCCAAGAGTTGTTACCAAAGTAATGGGGACCGCTCCGCTGAGGGTTGAGTGAGCACGACGCCAACCTTGCCGCCCGCGGGGTTGTCGGCGCCGTCGCGCACACCGGACCGCATGCAGTGCCGGACGCCATGGAGGCTGCGCAGATCGCCCAAGCCGTGGTGGAGGGACCGCGACGCCGCCAGGGCGATTCGGCAGCAGACCTGGTCCGACTGGGTCGCACCGGCCCTTTGCACAGTCGCATGGCGCGCGATCTTCATCCTGGGGAACGGCGGCTCGGCAGTGAGGCGCCACGTCGTTTTCCGTTCCGCCTGTCGCCTGGTCCTTGTTGATCCCGTCATGCCCCAGCACTCCGAGATGTCCAAGATTGTCCAGACGGCCTTGTGCTACGACCAGCTGGACGCCAGCAGCGCTGCATCCTTGGAGCTGATTCGCAGCCAGATCGTGTTATGCGAAGAGAGCCGGACACGCGCAGAGGGTGTTTAGGGGAAGGGGGAAGGCTTCTTAGAAGCTCCCTGCTTCTTAGAAGGCGCCGTCGCCCCTTCTAAGAAGCTTGTGGCTGATTCTTAGAAGCTGCTTCTGGCGTGTTTCCAAGAAGTAGGTGGCTTGCTTCTAAGTAGCTGTTCTTGCTTCGAAGAAGCAGTTCAGTACTTCTAAGAAGCTGCTGGGGTGCGTCTGAGAAGCGGCGCGCCCCTGGCTTCTTAGAAGGACGGCCAGCGCCTTCTAAGAAGCGGCCGCCTTCGAAGAAGTTTCCCACTCTCCCCCTACCCCCTTGTCCGCGCCTCCAAATGAGGCCCAAGGATGTCCCACTCGGCTCGTCGTGGTCGGAGGGCCAGACTCACGACGAGAGCTACTTCTTCACGCGGCTGCAGAACACGGGCGGGGCCATGGCGTGCCCAACAAGTGGATCAGCGAGCACGTCGCCGCCGAGAATGTCGCGCCCAAGGGCGGCTGTAAGTCGCGGGAGGAGCGGGCGCTTGCGGAAGAGGAGTGAGGTCCACGAGGATATGCTCCTCGTTCGGAGGGGCATTATTCTAGGGAGTGTATGGTGCCATGAGACACCCATTGGCCTCGCCCATGTGAGACGTCTCCAGGCGGTTGCGCTGCTTGTCAACTGGGACATTCACCGTTGGAACTCCTCCTTCTGAAGCCAAAGCGACTTTTACTCAGCCGTTTGTGCAGTCTCGCGGCTCTGGGAGGGACGTTGGGTCCAGTTGTCTAGTATTTTGTCTTGCCTGCTCTCCCCCCACACACCCTTGTCGCTGCGAGTTTGACCTTACCTCGTTTATACAACCAGGGGATAGCATCCTCAGGGAGGAGAACGAGAAGGGGGAAAAGGAGGGGAAGGGCGAAGGAAGGAGGATGAGAAGGGGGTTTTAGAAGGCCCCAGGGCTTTCTCGGTTTTCCTCAGAGGATCTGGGGGGTCCTGGGTTGTTTGAGCGGCGATGGCAATTAGGAGCAAAGGGAGAGTCCGAAGCATGATGAGGGTGAGGAAGATGAGAGGGAGCAGGAAGAAGTAGGATGATGAGGTGTCTACGAGAACGATTGGGATTATATGGGAGAAGGGAGGTGGAGGGAGGAAGGGAGGAGATGGATGAGGAGGAGGATGAGAGTCATGCGGAGAAGGAGGAATTGACGGATGTTGTTGTTGTGGTTGTTGTTGTTGATGGTGAAAACGACGATGATGGTTGTCATGGTTTTCGCGATGGGGTTCGTGACGGCGGTGTTGGTGTCTTTGATGTTGGTGGTGGTGTTGCTGATGATGATGATATTGTGGGTGATGTTGGTATTGAACTTGAGCATGAGTGTTATGCTGACAGTGCTGATGGATGATGTTGATGTTGATGATGTTGATGATGACGGCGATGCTGATGATGTTGATGGTGATGGTGATGGTGATGGTGATGGCGACGATGGTTGTGATGATGGTGGTGTGGTGGTGGTGATAATTGTACTCTCGATGATGACGACGATGACGATGATGCTGGTGCTAATGATGATGGTGATGATGATGAGTAGGCGGATTATGATCATGATCATGCTCACGATGATGATGGTGATGATGATGCTGCTGATAATGATGTTGATGACGACGACGATTATGAGGATGCTGGTGACTGTGGTGATGATGATTGTGATGGTGGTGTTGGTGGTGGTTATGATGATGCCTATGACGATGGTGATGACGACGACGATGATGATGACGACGATGATGGTGAAGATGATGATGATGATGATGATGATGATGATGATGATGGTGGTGGTGGTGATGGTGGTGGTGCTGATGTTGATGCTGATGCTGATGCTGTTGGTGTTGCTGTTGCTTTGGTGGTGGTGGTGTTGAGGATGATGTTGAGGATGATGATGATGATGCTGATGCTGATGCTGATGATGATGATGCTGCTGCTGCTGATGATGATGATGATGATGATGATGATGATGATGATGATGATGATGATGACGACAGCGACGACGAGGATGCTGATGCTGATGCTGATGATCAGGAGGAGGAGGAGAAGAAGGAGGAGGAGGACGAGGAGGAGGGGGAGGGAGGAGGAGGGAGAATGAGGAGGATCAGGAGGATGAGGGCGTGGGGGGAGGAGGAAGGGAGGAGGAGAGAGGAACGGAGAGAAAGAGGGCGGTATGTGCACCGCAGGACGGCTCCGACGCGGCGCGTTGGCAGCAGGACTTCCGGCAGGCGTGGCGCCTCCCGTCGGCAAGGAGGGGCGCGGAGTGTCGGGGCGCTCGTCGAGGCAGGGAAGCGGAGACGAGGTCACAGCAGAGGGGGTAACAGGAAACGGTTGGTTCGAGGCAACAAATCAGAGCGTGAATTACCTACCCCGCTTTCGCTTCCAGGCAAAACCAAGCCATACCACGCGCCTCCTCGTCAAGCGGCTTGATCAGTACAGGCTGCAATTTGGCATCGTTTGGTATCTCTTGGAAGCGAGGGTGGTCAAAAGCGAGGTAGGTTTTTTTTCCCCCTAACAAACGCGCACTTTGTTGCAGTCCAGTGTCTTTCCGCTTTCGCGTTCAATGCAGCACGTGCCACAGGTTGTCTGCAACGGGAATGTTCGGCTGCCGCGATGCATTTTTTGGTTTGGGGGCCCTTCTTTGCCCGGCCTGTGGGGCTTCTTTGCAGTTTATCCGCAAGCGGTTGCAGAGAAAATGCAGTGCACCGCTATCGCATTGCAGAACATATGTCGTGCAGATGCTTGTTCTGGCCGTTGCAGCCTCTTTGTCTGAAAGAGCGTGTTCTACCGCTGCTGGCGGAAAACCGGGGGGGTCACTACCGGTTCGAACCCCTCCACCCCCCCTCCGGAAAACAGGGAGGGGTCACCACCGGTTCGAACCCTTCCCCCCCCCTCAGTTCATCATGAAAAGGGGGGGGGTCACTATCGGTTCGAACCCCTCCCCCCCCCCTCGAAAACTGGGGGGGTCACTACCGGTTCGAACCCCCCCCCCCTTGAAAACCGAGGGGGTGTGCGGACAGTGGTGGGGACGGTGGTGGTGGGGACAGTGGTGAGGAAACAGCGGGACAGTGGTGGGGACAGTGGGACAGTGGTGGGGACTGTAGTGGTGGGGACAGCGGTGAGGACAATGGCTGGCTGGTGGCCACTGTGGGCATTCTTTGAGGGCTGCAGGGACAGCACCCCGAGGGCAGCCAGGAGGTGGACCAGCCGCGGCCTGACCTCAGTCGGCTCCCACATCCGCGCACAGGGGACAACAGCTCTGGTGGAAGGAGGGCCCCCCCACCTCCCTGGCGATCCCAGGGGAAGCAGGGGATGGAGGGCATCCCACCTTGCACCAAGGGTTTCCCGAGTGAGCGCACGTGAGTGCGGACAGGGAGCTGTAAAAGGGATCCGCCCTGGGGTCAGCCATCCAGTCCTTGCAAGGCATACCGCAGTCTGCCAGCGTGGGTGGTGGAGACCATCCGGATCCGCTCCCAGCCCCCACCCCCGACCCACCTCCGCGGCCTCAGTCCTACCTGACCCCCTTGGGGCCAGGACGCACTAAGCAACCGGAGATGGCAGGGCGAGGGCGAAGGCGACTGAGTCTGGACGGAGGAGAGGACGGGGACGAGGGAGGAGGGAGGAGGGAAGAGGGAGAAAAGGATGGCTGGCCTGGGCTGGCCTGGGCTGGCCTGGGCTGGCCCTGGGCTGGCCTCGGCTGGCCCGGACTGGCCGCGGCTGGCTCAGGCTGGCCTGGGCTGGTCGGGGCTGGCCTGAGCTGGCCTCGGATGGCCTCTGCTGGCCTGGGTTGGCCTGGGCAGGCCCGGGCAGGCCTGGGCAGGCCCGGACTGGCCTGGGCTCGCTCTCGCTGGCCTCGCCCCAGAAGGAAGGAGCAGGGAGAAGGGAGCAGGAGGCAGACGAGAAGCGAGGGGACACCATCCGGAGAGAGGGGGGCGCGCTGAGATGCCCCGGAGGTCACCTTCGCACTGCTCCTCTCGGGCCTCTTCCGACGGGAGGGGGGGGAGGGGAAGCACTGGGATGCCCCAGAGGTCACCTTCACACTACTCCTCTCGGGCCTCTTCCGACGGAAGGGGGGGGGAGGGGAAGCACTGGGATGCCGCGGTGGCTCAAGCCGCGGTGGCTCAAGCCGCGGTGGCTCAAGCCGCTGCCCCCGCCCTCGACCCACCTCCGCGGCCTCAGTCCTACCTGATCCCCTTGAGGCCAGGGCGCACTGAGCAGCCGGAGACGGCAGGGCGAGGGCGAAGGCGGCTGAGTCTGGACGGAGGAGTGGACGGGGAGCCCTGGAAATTCCACCACTCCCAGCTCCCATCAGGTGGGAGAACCCAGCACCCCCGGAGATGGGGAGGGGCTAGGAAGATCAGGGGATCCTCAACGCACTCCCTCCAGACAATCCGGAGGGAGGGGGGGGCGCAAGGACGACAGGGGAGGGCGCGAAAGGGGGGGGGGGGACGGACAGAAGAGGGCAGAACCCCGAGCCAAGCCGAGCAGAGACGCAGCTTCCCTGCCGCACCCCGTCGCGGCAACGAGAGCGCCCCCCAGGGGTCACCGCCCCAGGAAACCAACATAGCGCAGCAGGGGGGAGGGAGGACAAAGACGAAGACGGGGACGAAGAGGAAGAGAGCAAGAGAAGCAGGAGCAGGGACGAGGGGGAAAAGAGAGAGGAGGAAACCAGAGGCGCAGGAGGGCGGCGATAGGACGCCCCGGGGGTGCATCTTCACGCAGCCTCCCTGGCAGGGGAGAAAAGGAGGGCGGGGAGAAAAACGGGGAGTGCCGGGTCGCACTTTTCAAGGGGCTCCGCTCCAGAACTCCGTGGCACTAGAGTCCAGAGCACCTGCCCACTCTGCCAGCTGCTGGTAGCCCGGCGACCCCGGTTCGGCCCCCAGGGAGGCCCCTGGCTCCGCACCCGCGCCCACTCCCGGGGCCTGGCCGAAGGCTGCGCGCCCCTTTGTCCATGCGCCGCACACATTGAGAGCATGGGAGAGGCCCTCTTCTGGAGCCAAGGTGGCCTCGCAGAAAATGCAGTACTGCAGCCTAGCCCATGAGCGCCTGCGGCTGCGGTGCGTGAGGGTCAGGAGGCCCGCGGTTGCGGTTGCGGTTGCGGTGCGTGAGTGGGGACAGTGGACAGTGGTGGGGACGGTGGTGGTGGGGACAGTGGTGTGGGGACAGGGGGAGGTGGAATGGAAACAGTGGGACAGTGGAGGGTACAGTGGTGGTGGGGACAGTGGTGAAGGCGGTGGCGAGGACGGCGGTGGGACAATGGGACAGAGATACAGTGGGGACAGTGGTGGGGACAGTGGGGACAGTGGTGGGAACAGTGGGACAGCTCAGCGGGACAGCGGAGGAGTCAGTGGGACAGTGGGGACAGTGGGGAGAGTCGGGCAATGGTTGGGGCCGTGGAGAAAGTGGGGAGAGTGGAACCGTGGTGGGAACAGTGGTGGGGACAGTGGGGACAGTGCGACCGTGGTGGGAACACTGGTGGGGACAGTAGGGACGGTGGTGGAACCAATGGGGACAGTGGTGGTGAGGACAGTGGTGTTGGGAACAACAGTGGGGGATGTGGCGCGGACGGTGGTAGGGACCGGGAGTCGTTTGCTGGCGGTGAGTGGGGTGGGTGGGGAGGGGTTCGAACCGGTAGTGACCCCCCTCCGGTTTTCGAGGGGGGGGGGGTTCGAGCCGGGAGTGACCCCTCCCGGTTTTCGAGGGGGAGGGGGGGGGGGAGGGGTTAGGGGAGGGGGGGTTTTGCCGGGGGAGGGGAAGGGGGGGGGGGTGTTCCAGCAGGGGGGGGGATTTTCGGAGGGACCCCGGGCTCCGGAGGAAGAGGGGGCAATTTTCCACAGTAAAGCGGCGGTGGATTACGCTCTCTCCTTTCTCTGGATCGCATGGTGGGTCTGTTATCCCGTTCAGGTGTCACCCAGTAGGTCTGTTACCTCGGGCCTGACGAAAGGGGGGGATAGGGAAAGGGGGGGTTACGAAATTAGCTGCATGCAGCTGGTTTCGGCCCCGGCGCCGGGCCCATTCCTCGATACATGAGCGCCTCCCGGCGCTGGGGGGCGCCGGGAAAATCAGCTACGTTAGCTGATTCTCAATCCCCCCCTTTTCTATCCCCCCCTTTCGCCCGACCCGATTATCCCTGACCGAAGGAGGGTTATGGATCGCATACTGGGTCTGCTATCCCTGACCGAACGGGGGCCGTCGCTGACGGGGTCCTTGGCGCGAGGGGGGGGCACGTCGAGGAGGGCCGGCGCGCACGTGCGAGGGGGGCGGCCTCCTGAAACGCGGGAATCCTCCTCCTCCTCCTCCTCCTCCTCCTCCTCCTCCTCCTCCTCCTCCTCAAGGGAGGCTTTGAGAAGGCTGGTGGCTTCTGGGAAGCCCACCCGGCTGCCGAGCAGCCGTGTCAGAAGCCTCCAGATCCTTCGAAGGAGGCCCCTGCCTTCTGAGAAGCCTCCCGCCATTCGGGGAAGGCCTCCCCCCTCGCGGCCCACCCCCTTATCGGGTGTGCCGCCAGTGTGCCGGCGAGACCCTTCCTGGCCCCCTCTGGCCGACACGGGTTTGCTGTACGCCGCGCGGTGCCTGAAAGGCCGCTGACGGCCCCCCCCACTATGGCGTCTCATCATCATCATCATCATCATCATCATCATCATCATCATCATCATCATCATCATCATCATCAGCATCAGCATCATCAGCATCATCATCATCAGCATCATCAGCATCAGCATCAGCATCAGCATCATCATCAACATCAACATCAACATCAACATCATTCTCATCAACATCATCAGCAGCATCATCATCACCACCATATCGGCATCAGCATCATCATCATCATCATCATCGGCATTCTCATCATCATGTTTCACCATTATCATCATCGTCATCACCATCACCACCACCATCGTCTTCATCGTCATCGAAATCATGATCGTCATGGGCCCGTGGGGGCTGATGTTGGACGCACGTTTCCCCTTGCGTTCATGCCCGCCGCGTCCTCTGCCGACGTTGGCCCAAGCGACAGTCAGGCAAGTCCAGGCAGGTCAGGAAATGGCAGTCCAGGCAGTGGCGGTGCGGAGCCTCACCTCGCCAAGTCAATTGTCGGCCGCCGCGCTGGATACAGAAGGCTTCGCCTGCCGCGCCGGACTAACAAGGCCTCGACGTTCGCCGCGCGGTGCTTGAAACACCGCTGAAAAGGTCCACCCACGATGGCGACGCACCGTTGTAACCGTTGTATCATCATCGTTTCCTGTCACTGCGTTGCACGTATCGCCAGATCCATGGGCTGGATGGGCCTGTTAAAAACGAGATTGGGCGCGCGCATCCCGCGCGCCCGCTGCGTTACGGTTCGGTTTGTATCCATGCGACAGGCAAGCAAGGCCAGACAGCTCAGGCAATGACAATCCCGGCACTGAGGACAATGGTTGCGCCGCGACGACCTCATTTGTCCAGGTCAACTGTCGGCCGCCGCGCTGGACATAACAGGCGTCGCCTGCCGCGCTGGGCTGACAAGGCCTCGACGTTGGCCGCACGGCGCCTGAAATACCGATGTTGGATCCACCAGCCATGGCGACGCATCATAATCATCATCATCATCAGCATCAGCAGCAGTATCATCATCATCATCGTCATCTTCATCTTCATCACCATCAGCAGCACTGTCATCATACTCATCACCATCACCATCACCATCCTCATCGGCATCGCCGTCATCGCCAGGATCCTGGGCTGGATAGATCCGTGAGGAACGAGCGTGCTGCGAGCCCGCCGCGTGTTTTCCCGTTTGTTGAATCCGTGCGACAGTCAGGCGAGTCCCCGCAGTTCAGGCAATGGGAGTCCGGGCAATGGCGGCGAGGGCTGCGATGCGACAGAGTCGATTGTCGCCCGCCGCGCTGGGTGTATAAAAGCTTTGCATGCCACGCCTGATTAACAAAACCTCGACGTTGGCCGCGAGGTGCTTGAAATACCTCTGAATAGGGTCCGCCTGCGATGGCGGCGCAAAATCATCATCATCGTCATCATCGTTTCTTGCCATCGCAATGCTTGCATCGCCAGAGCCGTGGGTTGGATGGGTAGTGGGGAGCGTGATCGGACACATGTTCCCCCGTCGCTGTGGCACCGATGTTAGACGGTTTGTTTTCCGCGCGATCGACATGTCGCGGAGTTGGCGGGGTAGAACTATCCCGCCCCGCTTTTCCCGACAGGCTGGGCGGGGTTTAGTACCGAAGGGGTTTCCGATGTACTCCGCGAGAGAGCAGGCATCGCCCGCGCACGTTAGGAATCTTCGGAGGGATTTGGGATCCCAGCATCAGACCAAGTCGCAGAAACGGTCGTCACGGCCGACGTCTATCCATGCGACACCCAGGTCAGTCCAGGCAGTTCCGGCAATGGCACTCCAGGCAGTGGTGGTATGGGTCTGCGATGCGACGGCCCCGTCCCGCCAAGTCAGCTGACGGCTTCCGCGGTGGATACACCAGGTTTCGCCAGCCACGCCAGATGAGCAAGGCTTCGGTGTTCGCCGCGTTGTGCCCGAAATTTGGGGGTCCACCCATGATGGCGGATCATCATCATCCGTGTTAGCAGTCGCAGCAATCGCAGCATCATTATCAGCACCACCGTCATCATCGTCATAATCATGAGTTCCACTTTTTTTCATCGTCACCATGGGCATCACCATCGTCCCTTGTCATCGCGATGCAAGCGTTGCAAGCGCCCTGGGTTGAATGGGCGCGTGAGGAAAGAGATGCGGCGCATGTTCCCCCATGCATGCCCGCCACCCCGCTTGGGTTGTTCGTTGGGATCTCGTGGGGGCCTGTCGGAGACATTTGTGGAAACAGTTTTGACGCGTATTGCGGGCAGTTTTGCTGTCTCGCGGGTCATCTCTGGCTTTGGGGGGGCAGCGTAGGGGTTTTCTGAGGGGCTCTGGGGGCTTCCGGGGCGCCTCTGGGGGCATCCTGGGGGCCTCCTGGTGCGGAGGGGTCGGATTTGTGGTTCGTGTTCCCTCTTGTGGGGCCCTTTTGGAGCCGTCTTGGATCTCTTGGGTCGTCTAGGACGCATCGAAGGCCGTTTTGGGAACCTCTCGGGCCGCTTCGGGTTTTGGGTGACTTTTGCCTCTTGGGAGGGCTCTTGGAGGCCTTTGGGGGCCTCTTGGAGGCCTCTTGGGCCGTTTGGGGGCCATCTTGCCTACGTGTGCCCGAACAGGCTCCCATACTGCCCAGCGAGCTACAGCCACAGAAGCGGCGCTTCCCGTTCTTGTCCGATCAGGTTCTGCCGCGCCGTAGTGTGGCAATAGCCAAGGTGGCGGATTTACGTATACCATCTCATGTTGTGTCTTCCCCGTCGCTAGTGATTCCTTGGTGAGGGTCGGCGCCGAGTGCTTGGCGCCGGCTGTTCCCACGCGCTTGTTGTGGCAGAAGCAGTGTCGCTACAGGCTCGTCAATTAGGAATGCCGAGCCTTCTTTCATGTGGAGAATCGATGACACTCGGTTGTGACATCTAATGCAGTCGGGGTACGTTTCGGGAGAGGGTGGGGGAAGATGAGCTCCCGGGAAGTTGCATTGGCAAAGCCAACCCCTCAGATGCGGTGCGCCATGCCCGTGCAGTGACCAAACGGGGCAGCGGCAGATGCACTCGCAAGTCAAGAAAAGGATACCCAATTGGACGAACGCGCCAACGCGCCCGCCCCGTACCGCCCTCGTTCCCTTCCCCCGTGCTCTTCTCGCGCTCCTGTTGCTGCGAACTCCTCAATTGCACCTGTTTCTACATGTCGAACGTCCTTCCCTTCACCTCTCCAGTGGTGAGCTTGGTCCACAGATTCGCTTGCCAGTGGGCGCCAAAGGAGATCCCCAAGAAGCCCCCAGCACGACTGAAGACTCCGATGGCCCCCCCTCGCCGTGCTGACCTCCTCCCCCCACCCCCCACTCGCCCGGCAGGTGACATCGGTGTTCTCCTCGCCGCTGACGTGCGCCCCCCTCCGCCCGCCGCGGCGTGATGCTCCCGCCCAGCGAGGGCCCGCCGAGCCTCGACGGCCGCTTGCCTCGCACGAGCGAGAATGATAACGAGAGTTCAAGGGGGTTAAAAACACCCAGACCCCGACAATTGGCGTTGTCTAAACGTCCCTGGGTGTTTACTGGACAGCCCTGCCCCGTTCGATTCCTTGCCTGGGTGCAACTACTAGACGGCTTCGCTTCTCGCGGTGCTTATCATTGGGTGGGATTTGATGCCGTCTAAGAGTGTCCAGAGACGCGGTCACGAACCTGAGCCACCCCCGTGGATCCTCCAGCGACGCGGCTAAACGAAGGAAGGTAGCCGCGAGCCGAAGCCGTGCACCTGCCGCTCGCATTCTGAGTGCGCGGCGACGGCCAGCCGATGGAGACGGCCTCCAAGCAGGGGAAGTGAATCCTACGTTCACAATGAACGACGCCACCACCGCCCCTGCCCCGCGTGGGCGAGGAGGAGGAGGAGCAGGAGGAGGAGTGGAGGGAAGGGTTGGGACTCCAGGGGGGGGCGTTGGGGGGGCCTGGCTGGCCCCTCCCCTGGATGGGGCCCCCCTCCCCCTGGCGTCCCTGCCTTGCCTTGACGCTGCTGCTGGCTCCTTCTGCCGCCCCCCCCCCCCCCGGACGGCGAGGGCCGCTGGGTGGTGTGGGGGGGGAGGGCTCCGCTTTGTCGAGGTGCCGATGGCCCGCATCTGCTCTCGGCGGCGAGCGGGGCGGGGACGCGAGAAGGAGGAGGCCTTCTCGGACGGCCGCGGGCTTTCTCTCAGAGGCCCTCGCGCCCTCTGAGAGGTGCTCTGCGACTTTGGGGAAGGCTCAGAAGACTTCGCAGAAGGCCCGGGGGACTTCAAGCCTTCGAAGGCCAGCACTTTCTCACTTCCCCCTCGGGCTCGCCGCCGATGTTCGGTTCAGGAGGAGTGGGCAAGCCTGGGGCGAAGATGCGCCGCTCCAGAGCCTCCCAGAGCTCTCCCAGAGCGTTCCGGAAGCACTCTGGAACGGCAGGTCTCAGAGATCCCGAGTTGTCGGTGTTTGCTCAAGCCGGGCCTGTCCCTCTACAGGAGGAATATTCAAAAAATAGTCATATAATAGTCTGGGGACGATTTGTTTGACTATTTTTGAGCATGTTTGGAGTCTGTTTGGGTATTTTTTGACTTTTCGCCCAAAATCCCCCGGTAGGGGACAGGCCCGACGTAAGTGTTTGGTTTGCCTTCGCACTGTCGTATGCGTTCGCATGAATCTGCGTTGCCTTGCGTTGCCTAGAATTGCATTGCTTGGCACTCTATTGTGTAGCACCAGTTTTACATAGCGCTTCTGTGCGTCGCACTGCATGGTCTTTCATTGGACCGCAATGCGGCGGTGTGTCGCAGTACTCTGTACTGCACTGCGCTGCTTTGACTTGCATTTCGCTGCTTTGCCTTGCTTCGCTTCGTGTAGCCTAGTTTTGTTATACATTGCTCAGCGTTTCATCACATTGTGTACAATTTGGCTTGTATTGCATGTGTTGCCTGCGATGTTTCACATCGCGTTGCCGTGTTGTGGGGTGCACACTATTGCTGTTTGTGCTGGCTTACATTGCCCAGCGTCAGTTGCATTACGTTGCTTCGTACTGTGTTGCACTGCTGTGAATTCTATTGCGTTGTGGTCCCATGGCGTTGCTTGACATGTGCACTGCGGCACATTGTTTTGCATTCCACCGTCTTAACTTGCACTGCGTTGCATTGTAAGGTATTGTAATGCGTGGCATTGGTTGGCGTGCAAGTGCGATCCACGACGGTTCAACGTCACAAAACTCAGTTGCGTAGCAATGCGTTTCATTGCAATGCGCCCCAAAGAACAGCACAGTGTTCACAGGTTTTTCCACAACGGCAACTCGAAGCGACAGAAAACGCACATCGACGACAGCAACGCAAAGCACGCAACGTAACACAACGCAGTTAAATTGCAACGACAGGAATTACACTACAAGGCAACACAACACAGCAGCGTTCAGTACAGCACAGAGCATCGCTGGATTTTCGCTGCCTTTCCGCCGCGCCGCGCGCTCCCTCCTCGTCTGCCGCTCCCCCCTCCCCTGCCTGTCGCTGCTGCTGCACTGCCTGCTGCATGATGCTGCTGCTGATCTGCCGCCCCTCCTGCCCTCCTTGCCGCTGCACGCTGCTGCCGATCTTTCTTTGTGCCAGTTGGGGCTGCTGACGCCCACTTCGGCACAACCTTCACGCGGACGGTGCCCCACAGAGTGCTCAATGAACGGTGCCAGTGGGCGGGTTGGCATGCGGTCTTCCCGCTCACTTCGTCGCACCACTCATGCGGATCGTGCCCCACAGGAAGCTCCACCCAACTCGGCCCCAGTGAGCGGTTTCGCATGCGGGCCATCTGCCCATTTCGGCGCACGTTTCCAACGGATCGCGTCGCACAGGGAGCTCAATGTCTTCCCTTGTTGCGGCGCGAAAGGTAAGGAGAGAGTCCCCTTTCGCGCTGTACGCACCTACATGGCTTGCGTAATGGCATTTGGGTCTCCTGCCCTGCCCATCGTACCCTCAGGGGGCCCCGTGGCCCCGAGGTATGCGAAAGCTGCGAGCGTGAACAACATCACATCGTGGAGTTGTTTAGGCTTCGCGTGTTCCTCGCAGCTTCTAAGGACAGTTTGCCCGAGTGGTCTAAGGGGGTGGACTCAAGTTCCACTAGCGCAAGCTGCGTGGGCTCAAATCCCACAGCTGTCTTTACTTCGTTCCGCGCCCCGGACGTTGGTCCCGCTCCCTGTCCTTCGCCTTGGAGCCGCGAACCAAACAAAGTGTTCCTCGCAGCCCATCCAGAGTCGACTCCCGGGCCAGCTGCCTTGAGCAGGGAAGGGTCGGAAAGCATACACTGGAACAGAGAGGTGACGGGCAGCCGTGAGAGAGCGACAAACCCAGGATCGGCCCGAGCAGACTTCGGCGTCGCCCAGAACATGGCCCGCTCTCAGACCTCGCGCTGGAGGGCAACACCGAAGTCGAGTCGGCTCCAGGGGTTCCCAAGAACGGCAAGCCTGGAGACGGTTTTTGTTTAGGGTCCGGCGATGGCCCGGGTGATCGGGCTTGCCCCCCCTACCCCACCCCAGGATAACCTGACCTTGCTGGTTGTGCAGGTCCGGGGTGCGGGGGCGCCGGCGGCATATGCAGGGCTGCCCGCAGCGCGAAGGTTAGGTTATCGGCCGGCCCCCTCCCCCCCTCTGGATAACTTGGGTTAACGATTCAAAAAAAAAGGTCTCCTGGGGCCTCCTAGAGCTCGTGGAGGGCCTCTTCGGGCCATCCCGGGGACGCTCCCGCGGCCGTGTTTGGGGGGCGGTCGGGTCCGCGTGGCGGGGGGGGGCTCTCCTGTGGGGCCTGCCTGGGCCGACCCCACGGGCCACGGGTACTCCATATGGGGGCTCCGATTCGGCCCCCCCTTCGGTATCGTTCAAGCAATCCCCATCCCCATCTCCATCCCCTTCGAGACCCCCACCAAAATTGCCACCCCAAGTTGGGGATACCCCCCTCGAAGACCGAAGGGAACGCCCTCGATCCCCATCTAGGGCCGGTCAATTGGCCAGAGGGGCTCCCCCTTTCTCGGGGGGAAAAAAAAAAAAAAAAATGTCTGCGGACGATTTTTGTTCAAGTATTTGGTGTTTATTGTCGCGCATCGTTTAAATTTTCTTGTGTTCCGAAATCGGCGCGTAGTGGGACATGCAGGGGATGCCTCCAGCAGGAGGGGGGGGGGGCACACCACCAGGGGGGGGGGGCACCCTGGCCCCTCACGCTGGTGGTCCCTATGTGGTGGTGGTGTCGCTTTTCCTTGTTTCTAAAGTCGACCCGCATAAGAAGGATGCGCGATCAGGACGCAAGGGCCTTGGAAGGCCGTTTCGGAGCTTTCCGAGCGGGGTTCGGCCAACGAAAGTGGCCGAGGATGGGCCGAGGAGGCAAGGATGCAAGGGCACCCTCGGGAAAATCGCCCACCCTTCATATGCGGGTTGACTGTACCCTTCCCGTCGGAGCCAGGCAGATCATCTCTTGGAATCGCTTGGGCGCCCTGGGGGTCGCCTGGGGGTTCGTCTGGGCTCTCTTGGACGACCTGGGGCCGTCTTGAGACTCCAGGAGTCCATCGAAAGCGAAAAGGCGAGATGGCACACATCGATGAAAGGGGTAAGGTTGTTCACTGACTTTGGTTTTTGTGGGGCTTGCGTTTTAGGATCCATATTCTCGCAAGCCAAATGAGCCGTCTTGTTGCCATCTTAGAGCTTCCGCAGGCGTGCTGGAGACCATCGTGGTCCAATTGAGGATAGAATATGCCAAGGCCACGTTAGGCTACCTGGGGCCACTGTGGGCCCATATAGTTCGGGCCAGCTAGGACGCTCCAACCTCTTGCTCTCAGAACCTCGTCCGCAGGATTGCTGATAATGCTTCAGATTTGCAGAGGGCTCCTCAAGATTCCCGCCTGGGATTCTTGAGGATTCCTCGCGAGCTGACTGCTCTGTGTGTCTAAATATATGTTCGGGAATTGCAGAGCCGTTGATTTCCATTGTTCCCCTTAGTATTCATGATCCGCCACGTCACGTGTTTTCCTCGGGTGTGGCTTTCCTTATTCCTTTGCGTGTTCTCAGTGGTTTGGGTGCTGCGTCTTCGGTGAAGGGGCGGGCTTCCCCTCCCCCCCCCAGGAGCAGTCCGCATCGAGTCAGGTACAGCCGTGGCGCTGAGGAAGGAACCCTTTTCGTTGGGCAGGGGCTCGGTGTTCCTTAGTTGTTTTGCAGTTCGCCTTGGGTTTTGCTTGGGGCTTCGATGGGAAGTCAAAGTTTAACTCATGGGAAAAAGGGGCCTCGTTCCTTATCTAGGGTTCCTTAGGTCAACGCCCCGACTGTAGTCAGGTCGAGTCGGAATGCGCGTCCGATCGGGCTGCACCGGCGTGGATTCAAGGTGTGCGCAAGGGTGCACAACGGCACCATGCAGGCATCGGATCCCGGTCCCCCCCCCTCTCTCCCCATCCTCCATGGCTCCCCCTGTACAGTTACGTGAACACTGCCTCTCCTCTCTCCCCTGACTTCGGCGGGCAGATCGCCGGTTCTCTCCGCGTGTTCGTTTTCACACAGGGTTCCAAACGTGTTTGCGTATGTCTTGGGATATGTTGTTACAATCCGATGGTCTTGGGTGTTTCAAATGATGTTCCCGCTGCGGCTTGGGCCTCATTTTCGGATCGGTGCTTTGCTCCAGTCGTTCAAGATGGCGTTCCCGCCGCAGCGCAGGCCACTTTTCTGGATCCGAGTCCTTTTTCATCGTTGTCGCCCCTCATTTCCCTTCCTCCGCCTTCCCTGGTCCCCTGCTCATCCCGCTCCTTTTTCTCAAGTTTTTGCGTCTGGTGTCCGTCATCATCTTCATGTTCCTCCTGCTCATCTGCCACCTCGTTTTTTTTAGAGTTCCAGTTCCGCGATTGGCTACGACACGCGTCGGCGGATAGAGAAAGAACAGCGCAATGGGAAGGGATGGATGGGTGGGGTGGGATGTCAGACATGGCGCGAGCGCACCTAGCTTGTCTTTTCCTCTCTCCCCTTCGCCCTCCCGAGCCCCCCGACTCTTCTGCTAACGCGTCAGCCTCAGGGGAGGCCAAGCGTACCCAGCACAGACGCAGCCTGCAGCGGCGGCCTCAGGGCCCACCCGGGGCCGCCCGACGGCTGCGTCTCGGCGCCCACCGTGGCTGGAACGGTGGACGCTGCGGAACCTCACGGGGGGTGCGTCGTCCTCGGGGTGCGGCTGGGCCCTTCCCAACAGCTTGACCCTTCGCCCGAGCAGCTTTTCGGGGTGCGCAGCTTCCAAAGAGGCGCAGGCGGGGGATGCAAGCGCAGACACGCCGGCCGCCGCTGCCGCATCGTGCCCGCAAGGAGATCGGCAGGCCGCGCGCACCCGAGGCCACCCTTGCCCAAGGTCGCTCCTGCATGTGGCAGGTCTCGTCCCCCTCCTCCTCCTCCTCCGCCTCCTTCTCCTCCTCCTCCTCCTCCTCCTCCCTCCTCGTCCTCCTCCTCCTCCTCCTCCTCCTCCCCCTCCTCCTCCTCCTCCTCCTCCTCCTCCTCCTCCTGCCACTTCTTCCCTCCTCCCCTCCTCCTCCTCCTCCTCCTCCTCCTCCCCCGCCTCTTCCTCCTCCTCCTCCTCCCTCGCCTCTCTCCTCCTCCTAGTCCTCCCCCTCCCCCTCCTCCTCCCCCTCCTCCTCCTAGTCCTTTTTCTCCTCCTCCTCCCGCCTCCTTCTCCTCCTCCTCCTCCTCCTCCTCTTCCTAGTCCTCCTCTTCCTCCTCCCCCTCCTCCTCCTCCTCCTCTTCCTCCTCCTCCTCCTCCTCCTCCTCCTCCTCCTCCTCCCCCTCCTCCTCTTCCTCCTCCATCATCATCTCCTCCTCCTCCTCCTCCCGATCTTTCCGCTCTCTGGAATGCACCTTCATGCCACGCCGGGGACGCGGGGCCCAGATACCTGCCAACAAAAAATGCGACGACATGCGAGAGGGCGCACCAGGCAGACTCGAGAAAGGAAGGGAGCAGAGAAGGGAACACATGAATGAAGCGCAGCTGCCAGGATACCCCCGCGTGGCTCCTCCAGGCCACTCTCCCCCCTCCCTTCTCCGCGGGCAGGCGCGCGGTCCAGACGTGCCTCCTCGCCCTCCGGGGGCACCCAGCGCTGGGCGCTGGGCCCGTGCGATTGCTGGAGTGCGCGCGCGAGGCGGGGGGGCGGCGGCGGCGGCGGCGGCCACGACGGCAACGACGTCGGCTACGACGTCGAGGCGGGGGCCGGCGGCAGCAACGGCGACGACGGCGTTTCGGAACGATCTGAGGTTCCCAGAGGCTCTCGGCAGCACGGCCGGGCGCGGCTCGAACGATGGGCCAGGGTGGACCCGGGACGGTGCTCGGGCGGGGGCGGCAACTAGGGGGAAGGACACGTGGGGAGAGTGAGGGTGGCGGGGAAGTCGCCCTGAAGGGGTTGTATACACGGTCCCTGGATTGCCACCGCAGGCCCAAGACAAACTGTGCACGTTTCTTTTCCCCACGTTCGTTGGCCCCCCGTTGCCAAGCACACGAGGGGTCCGGGGAGAGCCCTTGAGCGGGCCTCGACGGGACACCCTTGAGAACGCGAGGAGGAGCGAGCCGAAGGACTCTGGCGCCTCTTCTCTCGACGGCGGCGGTTGCCCAGACCGCCACCGTCTCGGAATCACAGGGCGGGTCGCTACCTGGGCCCCGCCGCCAGCCCAGACGGCGAGTACGGTTTTTGGCGCCTGTTTCCAGCAAGTGGAGTCTCCCCCGTAGGACGCATTGTTGCAAACAGTCGCATTGAGCAGAGGTCCGGAGCCATATCCTCCCCTTCCCCCTCCCCTTCCGCCCAATGTCGAAACGCCGGGTAATAAAACGCTCACTTGCGCGATGCACGGGTTGCGCAACGTGTTGCGCAATCCATCGGTTTTGCCCTGGGTACGCTTTGGTGTTCGCCATCGGGCGGCGCAGCCGCCGTGGGGGCGCAGATGGCAGCCGACGCTCGCTCTCACTCGGGCGAGATCGACAGACGGCATGTATGCCGAGGCGCAGTGCAGTGACGACCAGATCGGATGATGCTTTTCCCTTCATGTTAGCTTGGTCCAAACCCTCCACCATATTCATTGCCGTAAGCTCGGGCACGTCAGGAGTCTTAATTGATCTGCGCCCTTTGCTGTTCATCTCTTTCTGATCGCAGTGTGGGTACACGCTGGCCTCAAACAGCTCGTTGCTTGGAGCTGTCCGCTCCTTTCCTCCCCTCCAAAGTTGCGCTGCGGAAGACATCAGCGTGATGAGAAGGGGTCTTGGAGGAAAGGTGTTTTGAAGGCCTTTCGCCGGCACCGGGGGGAAACCCAGGGTTCAGGTCCCTCGTGCCATCATTCTCCTCTTCGCATTCCTCTGTCTCGTGCCAGGATCCTTTCCCTCGCGCCAAGAATCTCCCTAGAAAATCTTGGAGGTGAGGTGGAGGTAGGGAGAGGCGGGACGATGTCTCGTCTTCCCCCTGCTTTGCCTCAAGCTGCTGCTGCTGCAGCTGCTGCTGCTGCAGCTGCTGCCTCGGCCCCGCTCTCCTGCCTCCGTCCAGCATCGTTTGACCAGCGAATGTTCCCATCCCCTTACCTGTCCAGACCGGTGGCGGCAAAGAGGGGTGATGATTAGGGGGGGTGGATTTCATGGCGTGGGCCATGGTTTTTCCACTGATTTCATGGCGCCTCTTCTTATTTCATTACGTCCCTGGCACCCCCCCTTGGGCCGCGCACATGCCGCCGGCCATGATTTGCACCCCCCCCTCTTAGACACCCCCCTCTTGGCCGCCCCCGACCAGACCCCCACCATGACAGCACACCAGTTGGGGATATGCCCCTCGAGACCCGAAAGAAAAACGGCCCACATCCCCATCCAGGGGGGGGGCACACCGGCCCCTGGGGCCCGGGCCATGCCCATTGGGATAGGGGTCGGTCACGTCAGGCTCGTGCGGCGTAGGCGCGCCAGCGACGCTGGCGAAGGCGTTCCAGGTTGAGTTCTGCGACGCGGAGGCACCGATGGATACGGTAACGCCACTGGACCCGACAGAATTCAGCCTTGAACGATCGGGTCCGCGATCGATGCCAGGTCGAACGATCGACGCGGCGTCAAAAACCTTGGCGCGCGCCGACGCCGCACAAACGTACAGCCGGATAGAGGTACAAGATCGAGGCGGACTCGGGGAGGGTGCCCTCATGTCCTTCGTGCTTGTGGGACCTTCTTGTGCATCCTGGAGAGGGCACCCTTGGATGTTCTGTGCGTTTGGCTGGCGGAGGGTCTCATGCTCTTGCGGGAGGCTCTCCCGTCCCAGGTCCGGGTGTACCGCGAACGATGCTCACCCGTCGTCTCCCGGGGGCGCCAGGGAGGCTCCGCCCGAGTGCGCCAGCCCCTGCTCGGGGCTGGCCCGGGCAGAGGCTGGTGCCGATGTGCAGCCGGGGTCCCTCAGCAAGCAGTGGTGAAGCGTCTTGGCGTGCCTACAGGCCTACCAAGCAATGTTCCAAGAACCATTTGTGGTCTGCACGAAATGTTCTCAGAACATTTCTGCCCAGGACTGCCTTGTTTTAGCACGTCGGGCTTATGTTCTAAGAACACTGTTTTTGTTCTTCGAACATTTTTGGGTTCTAAGAAAAGTTCGTGGTAGGCCTATAGGAATGCCGGGACGGTCGGTCCCTGCTCAAAGAGATGGGGGGAGCGCCGAATTTTGCAGGATCCTGCAGGGCCAGGGTCGCATTGACCCAGGTTTGGGTGCAGGATCTTGCAGGACCCTGCAAAGCCCGACCGGCCCGGGTTTGGATTGACCCGTGTTAGAGATCCCCGACCTTTGATCGGGAGAGGCCAGGTCCAGCGGTCGCTCATGCCCAGGTCGGCCGCGCGTAAGAGAGTGCCGTTTCGCCAGAAGGACCTTTTTGGTGCGGGGCCACCAATCGGCGGCGAGGGAGGGGGGGAGTGAGAGGGATGAGGTCTTCTCAGGAGGCGGCGGGGCTTCTTAGAAGCCCTCGCGCCTTCTGAGTTGTTTGGGGAAGGCTTTGAGAACTTCTCAGAAGGCCAGGGGGCTTCCGAGCCTTCCAAGAAGGCCCCCATCTCTTTTCCCGCCGGGCTCGCCACCGACTTGGTGCGGACCCACCAGGGGTCCCCCCAGCAGTTCATTATCATACAAAGGCAAGCCTCGCGGCCATGCTTGGTCCATAGCTCCTCTGGTGTGTTGTGGTATGATCACAGCGAGGACCACCCACAACGTTGGCAGATCCTCTGGTCCGCAAGCGGCGTTCTGGGCCCCCCGCACTTGGCTCAACGCACTCGAGGAAGCGCAGCGACGGACCGGCGACGCGTGCAGCAGCATAAGCGGCGGGTCCTTCTCCCGCACGGAATCGGCGCGCTCCGTCGCCAACTCGGGCGGCACTGGCCCCACGTCTCGCGGGGCGCATGTCCCGATCCGCGCATCCGGCGCCCACCCGCCGCATGCACAGATCCCTGCCCCATGCCAGCGCGTGCCCAAATCGTGCCACAGCTGGGGTCGCGCTCGCCCGGGCAGGGTCACTTGCTCGCGTGTGGCGGGCCAGGTGAACTCGGTCGGGGGTGTGGACAGCGTGGGCATGGCGGTGGGGCAGGCCGCTCTCGCGCCCACGGGCCGCCCCCTCGCTGCACCGGCGGCGGGGCCGCTGTCGTCTCCGTCGTCAGCATTGCCATCGCCGTCGCCGTCGCCGTCGCCGTCGTCGTCCTCGCCGTCGTTGTCGTCGCCGTCGTCGTCGTCGTCGTCGTCGTCGTCGTCGTCGTCGTCGTCCGCCCTGAAGAGAGGCCCAGGATTGGGCCCCAGAGGCAGACATCCAGGGCGACGGCGGGGGCCCGGTCCCCGAATTTCGAGGCGTGGGGCATGGTTCGGGGGCGGCAAAGAGGGGGGTGATGACTGGGGGGGGGGGGGATACCATGGCGGGGGCCATGATATTTCCCCAGATTTCATGGCGCCTCTTCTTATTTCATTACGTCCCTGGCCCCCCCGCTGGGCCGCGCACATGCCGCCGGCCATGATTGGCACCCCCCCTCTTGGACCCCCCCCCTCTTTGCCGCTCCCGAATGGTCGTCGGTGCCGGCGATGTTCCAACCTCGGGCGTGCGCCTCGGGAGAGCGTTCCGGGGGTGCTGGGATCGTTCCGAGCGGCCGCGGGCGATCCGAGCTGTAGCCCGAAAACCAGCCTGGCATCGCTCGGACGTGTGCATTTCTTCTCGGCGAGAGCCATTGAGGACGATCCTGGACCATCGAGCAGAACAAAGACACGCACGAAGCCGAACAATGCACGGGAAAGGGACGTCCGAGCGGTGGCGAGCCAGGGGCAACCGAGGGCGGAGGAGCGGGCGCAGGGTGGGACGCCTCGGCCCCCGAGCGCCCACTCCTCGCCGGAGGGGGCCCAAATTTTTGCCCAGGAGCCTGCGATTCTGCTGTCGGGGGCCCCTCGCCGATCCAGCTCGAGTCCGCCCCCCCCCGCCTTCCCCCGAGCCAGTCCCCCCTCCCTGAGCGTTGCCCCGCAGGAGAGGCTCAGGATCCGGCCCTTGAGACACACACAGGATCAAGTCGGGCCTGCCCCTCTACAGGGGGAATCTTCAAGAATAGTCAAACCATAGTTTGGGGACTATTGCTTTATTATTGTCTGTCCATTTTGGAATATTTTATGATTTTTATTGTTCGTCCAATAGGAGGGAGGGAGGGAGGGAGGGAGGGAGGGAGGGAGGAGGAGGAGGAGGAGGAGGAGGAGGAGGAGGAGGCTGAGGAGGAGGAGCAGGGAGGAGGCACAGCACGCGGGCACGTCAGCTGCAGGCAAGACGCTGAAATCGGGAACAGTTTTGGTCCGATGTTGGGGCTCGATGTTCCTTGCGTCCCTGCCTGGTGGTCCCTCCAGCCCTCGAGAACGAAGGCGGCCCTGGGCCCAAAGGGGGCGTCGTCCATTGTCTAGCGCGTTCCTTCTTTCAGCGGCCCGACTGCAGCCACGGGGCCCACAGAAGCTCTGGGGATCTTCCGGACAGAGGCTTCGAGGACAGTGCCTGCCCCCCCCCACCCAGCCGCGCGCTGCGGATGGCCGTCCGCCGTCCTCTCTCGTGCCGGCGGCCACAGGGGTCGACGGGCGAGCTCGGCATTGCCTGCGCGGGCGAGCCGCTACAGCGGCTGGTCCGTGCCGCTGTTCCAGCGGCCGGGCAAGGGCGGTCCCGCGGCGCGTGCGGATCAGGTCCACCGGTTTGGTCGTCGGTAGTTGGGAGCAGGAGGAGTGTGCGGAGAGGGAAGCAGGGCCTGCTTGCCCCGTCTGCCGGCTTGACAGCAGCTTGGTGCCAACACCCGGACCTCAGACGCCGTGTTGATGGTGCGCTTCTGCGGCGTGGGCTCCATGGAGCTCTCAACCATGTCCTGGTTACACTTGTTTCGTTACTGGGCAGGCGATTGGGGTTCCTGCGCCCGTGCCCGCACGTAGAAGTCTGGTTTCGGATTTACTTTGGCTCGACCTCGGCCCTTGACTGGCTTGCCTCCCGCCGTTCGGCGGGCGCGGTGCACCGCAGGCGTGCTCGGCCCACGCACTGTGTGCCAGGCTTCGCATCCACATGCCTGCAGGGGCCTCCTCAGCTCGTTGTGACCAGCACCAGGTGTCCTCACTCCAGTACCTGTACCTGTTCGGTCTGCCCGCCTCTTCCACCTCCACCTCGTCGCTAGTCCTCCAGGTGATCCTCCTCGTCTTCCTTGTTTCTCGTCCACGTCCACCTCAGTCCTCCTCCTGATTTTCCTTCTCTTCTTCATTTCCCCGAGGGGGACCCAGCACGACGGTAGGATTGTACCCTCCTCCAGTAGAGTTGGCGCTCTCACGGCCAACCGTGCTCCGCCTCTGGCTCCGATCGGCTTTCCCTTTGCGCAGCCGCTCGGCCGCAGTGCAGGAGGAAGGAGAGGCGACACCACCATCGCCACTCGTGCACACCACTGGCAGAGGGGTCCACGATGCCTCCCCCCGTTGTGGGGGTGGGGGGGGGCCTCGAGCGAGGGGGGGGGGGGCCCACGCCGCCAGGAGAGCCCCCCCCCCTGGCTCCTCGCACTGCTGGTGGTGGTGGTGCCGGCCTGCCTCGTTCCTGCCCTCCGGACCCCGCTAGAGCTGCGGTTCGAGCGGCTGTCTGCCGGGAGGCCTGCCGACAGTCCCCCGGCGCCGCCCGGGGCGAGCGCCGGGGCGCGCTGCGGCGGGCGCGCGTCTGCACGGACGTTCGGGGGATAAGGGGGGAGCAGGAGGAGGAGGGTGAGGAGGAGGAGGAGGAGGAGGAGGAGGAGGAGGAGGAGGAGGAGGAGGAGGAGGGGGAGGAGGGGGCATGGAGGAGGGGGGAAGAGGGAGGAGCGAGGAGGGAGGGGGAGGGAGACAGAGAGAGAAGAGGGAGACACAGACGTTCGGACGGGATGGGAGCGCCGCGTTCGTCTGGGCCAGCGCGTCGCGCCCCCCTCCCCCCCTCGAACGGGAGGGAGGGAGGGAGGGAGGGAGGGAGGGAGGAGGAGGAAGGTAAGAGGGAGCAGGGAAGGGAGGAGGGAGGGATTGAGGGATGCAAGGAGGAAGGGAAGAGGGAGCAGGGAAGAGAAGGAGGAGGGAGGGAGGAGGGAGGGAAGAGGGAGCAGGTAAGGGAGGAGGGAGGGAGGGAGGAGGGTAGGCCCACCTCCCGCCGATAGGTGCCCGCAGTCAGTCGGGAGACTCTGACTGACCCCGTTCCTGCGCCAGTTGATCTTGGATTGACTTGGCGCGCCATGGTCTTTCAGGTATTTGAGGGGACCAGGATCCGTTTGCCCCCAGCGGCAGCCCGCCGCCCCGCAGAGGCCATCGAGGCGCGGGTGCGCAAGGAGCTCGCCGACGCCATCGGCGAGGCCGCCAGCGGTCGCCGCCGCCGCCGCCGTCGTCGTCGTCGTCGTCGTCGTCGTCGCCGTGGTGGTTCGCGTCGGGGCGGGCGGCGGTCCCAGGCTTCCTAAGGCGCGGGCCTGGGATCTGTAGATTGACTCTTCTGGCTCCTTGTGGTAGCCCCTCGGAGGGCGCTGGCGACCTGATGGGACCTCTGGGGCCTTCCGTAGATGGGGTCGGAGGGTCGCGCCGCATCGCCACTGCAGTGGCGATGCGGGGCCGTCTGGAGCCTGACGTCGCCGATGTGTTGGCGATACTGTGCGATCCTCCGACGACAGCGTCCTTTCGTTGCACCGCAGGTTGCGCGCTCGGTGGTCGAAGCACACGGCCCGATTCCGTTTGCGCCATTCGCGGCGGACCCATCGGCCAAGAATACGCAGTCTGCTATTGGCTGCGCCATATGGTGGGAACCCATCAGCCAAGAATGAGCTGCCTGCTACGTGTCGCGCCACTTGCTTGCTTGCTCGGCGGCGAGCCCAGGGGCGATGTGAGAGGGGGCAGGCCTTTTCACCTGGCGGCAGGGCTTCTCAGAAGCCCCCGCACCTTCTGAGAAGCTTGCTACCTGAGAAGTTGGCTAAGCCTTCTCCGGAGACAGAAACGGCTTCTCAGAAGTCTGGAGGGCTTCTGAGAACCCTCTCCCCCCTTTACAAGGCCTGCCCCTCTCACTTCCCCGCTGGGCTCGCCGCTGAATTGCGTGGCCGTCGGCAGAAAATAACATCGTTTGCTTTTGATTGCCCTATAGAGTACGGGCATTCGGAAGCCGAGAGTGGGACGAGTTGCTGACGGGCGCCATCCGTCTGGCCCAGTTCAGTCGGCACCCAGTCTACTTGCGATAAAGCAATGATGGGCTACGCCCGATCAGAAACGATTGGATGCGCGGAAATCGGAGGCAATGCGTTGATGCCATCGCCTCTGAAGTTGTTTGGCACCGCGCGCCCAAGCTTCACCTCCACGTGCAGGCTGGCTGGGGCCTTGCAGCGCCGACGAAACTATTCGGGTTGGAAACCATATTCGCGTTTTCTTATTTGTGTTCTTCTGTCCGTTCGGCCATGTGCCCTGGCCCGACGCGGCTGCAGTTGCTGCCACGGGGACTAGGGTCTCGTTGCCTCGCCTCGCGCTCCTGTTGCTGGACCGCAGTGCCCCCTCCCCTCCCCGATTCATCCCCCTCCTCCGCCTGTCCTCCGTCCCTTTCCCTCCCCAGTCCACCGTTTCTCCGCGCCCTCCGTCCCTCGCCCCGCGTGCCTACTCCCCCTTCGTACAGTAGGGGCCCGACCACAAGACATTGTCCACAAGAAACCCAACCGTGAGACCCCAGGACGTCCGCTAATTTTTCGTATGGGAACGCCACGCTTCCCATGCCACAGCCATGGAAACCCAAGCAAACTGGGGCACCCTGGAGGTATTTCTTGGCACGGGCTTCCAATGTATCTCCCCTGGTCCAGCCGCCACGGCCGCGGGCACCCTCCCTGCACCAGGCTGTCAGCCACGGGCATGATGGCATCGGTGCCACGGCGCGGGTCGTGCTGGTTCGCGTCATGTCCCCCGGTCTTTTCCCATGCGTGGTCGGAAATCCGTATTTCGGGATTCCCAGATTCCAGTGCATGTCAGGCGTCTTCCCAGTTCAAGGGTCAGACGGTGTCCCCTCTTCCTTTGTCTTCGGGGGGCGTGGGGAGCTCCAGTATACGTCCGGCGCCGTTCTCTGCTTCGCGTCTTTGCCCACTTCTGCAAACGAGTGCGTACTCCTTCCTCCTTCCCCTCTCTCCCTCCTCCATCCTCCCCCCGCTCCGGCTCTGCCGCCGCTTCCTGGGGGTAGGGCGCCGGGGGAGGAGGAGCGAGGGAGGGAGGAGGGCGAGCGGAGGAGGGGATGGGCAGGGAGGGGGGGATGGGGAGGAAGATGCTTGTTCATCAGCATGAGGGCGACACTGAGTGGCAACGCCGCCAAGGGCCGACCTCCGCAGCCGAGTCGGCACGCTCGGCGCGGAAACCCGTGCGGATGCGGTTGAGCTCACGAGCCGGGTTCCCGGTCCGCGGCTGGCCTTCCGCAGCCAGCTCCGCACTCGGCGGAGGGCGGCGGTGCAGCTCCGCCGCCGCGCGGGGCCTCCCCGGCCCGGCCAGGCGGAGACGGCGCAGACGATGTCCCCCATCTGCCCGTACTCGTGCAGTGCGCCCCGCCCCCTTCCGCCTCGCGCCGCCCGTGGCCCGAGAGGTCTCCTCTCCCCATCGGGATTGGTCGTGGTGGCTGCCCTCCCCCGCCCCTGCCGCGGTCCTGCTGCCTCCTGCTGCCTCCTCCCACCTCCTCACCCCTGGACACACAGTCGTGGGCACCGACCTTCTGGCTCCTCCTCACCCCTTCTCCTCCTCCTCCTCCTGTCTCTGTCTCTATTGTTCTCTCTGTGTTGTTTGTAAGTTATCTCTCTCTCTCTCTCGCGCTCTCGTACCTCTCAGTCCCGCTCTCACTCTCTCGTTCTCTCTCTTTCTCTCTCTCTCTCTCTCTCTCTTTTCCCCCTCTCACGACTACCCACATCCTCGACATGCTGGCTGCCGTTGGTCCGCAGCCCATGTCAGGCATCCTTTCGCGCACATGTGCACAGGTCGGCAACAGATCCTTTGGATGGAGGCGTCCCCCCTCCTATTGCGGGTTCAGTAATATTGCCCCCGATCTTGTTTACATCCCTTGATATATTCTTGCCTTTCACATCTAGTTTCCTCCTTCCCATGCTCCCTTTCTCCATCCCTCCTCGTCGTCATCCTCAATCCTCATCCAAACCCTTCCTCATCGTCCCCGTTGGTATCTTGCCCATTCTCCTTTGTGCCTATCCGCACCTCGTCATTCTCATCGTCCTCCTCATTTCCTCTCCTCCTCCCCCCTCCCCCACTCCCAGGTTGACTCGAAAGTGTGGTGGGCCCCAGAGCTCTCGAACCAATCGATCGCCTGTCCCTGGGACGGCTTTGCGCCGGGGGTCGTTCCTTGATGATCTTGGGCCCCCCAGGGCATCGCCATTACGAGAAACAACCCCATCCAGACAGACCCTAAGTCGGAGGGTTTCTGTTGACAAACACGAGTTAGGGCGCAACTCTTGGGGGGAGAACTTAGTCCTTGGTCCTAGCATTCCGTCTATGCTAATCCAGCCAAGTTTCGTTTAGTGTAACCTCGAATTTTCAATCTGGCTTATGGTTGCTCATTCTGCCAGAATACATGTCTAACTATGTCTTTGCAGCTCGTTCATGTCGCTCGGTACCTGTCGACCGTGGCGCGCCAACCAACCAGGACCTCTGGACCTCCAGTGCGTTGCTCCTCAATAGTTGGTCCCCTGACCTCGTGACTCTTTCGGGGGGGGCGGCATCTTCGTTTTGCCTTCGAACTGTCCAGGTGTCCAGACACGGACCTCGAAGGCCGCAAATTGGAAACCAATTGTGCCTCGGCTCGTTCAAGACGTCGGCGAGGCTGGAGATTGGAGGCTGGAGGCCGAAGATGAGGAGGAGGAGGAGGAGCAGGAGAAGGAGGAGGAGGAGGAGGAGGGGGAGGAGCAGGAGAAGGGGGAGGAGGAGGAGGAGGACCAGGAGGAGGGGGAGGAGGAGGAGGAGGAGGAGGAGGAGGAGGACCTGAAACCACCCGGGAAGCCCCACGTCCGTTCAAGGCCGTTCCCGAGACCATCCGGGGGCCCCTCCTGGCCGGTTTTTTTTTGTCCCCCTACCTAGGCTCTGCCTAGAGGGTTCTTACTCTCTATTAGCTTAAAGGGGCCGGGCAGTGCAAAGCGCCCCGGGCAGTTCCCCCAGTCCCCGCCCCGCGGTTCCCCTAGTCGCGCCCCCTTAGCTTGGCTTAGCTTATCTCGTCTTAGCTTAGCTTGGCTTAGCTTGGCTTAGCTTAGCTTGGCTTACCTTAGCTTAGCTTAGCTTAGCTTAGCCTTGCTTAGCTTAGCCGAATGTAGCTTGGCTTAGCGTAGCATAGCATAGCACAGCATAGCATAACATAGCACAGTATTGCATAGCATAGCTTAGCATAGCGCCCCCTTAGCTTGGCTTAACTTATCTCGTCTTAGCTTAGCTTGGCTTATTTTAGCTTAGCTTTGGCTTAGCTTGGGCTTAACATTAGCTTAGCTTTAGCGTAGCTTTAGCTTAGCTTTAACTTAGCTTCAACTTAGCTGTAGCTTAGCTTTAGTTTAGCTTTAGCTTAGCGTCAGCTTAGCTTCAGCTTAGCTTTAGCTCAGCTTTAGCTTAGCTTGAATTTAGCTTCAGCGTAGCTTTAGCTTAGCTTTAGCTTAGCTTTAGCTCAGCTTTAGCTTGGCTTGGGCGTTAGCTTAGCTTTAGCTTTAGCTTAGCTTTAGCTTAGCTTTAGCTTAGCTTTATCTTAGCTTTGGCTTAGATTTAGCTGAGATCTACAGTTACTAATGCTGCTTTCCTAGGGGCCCTCACTCCTAGGTAGGGTCGCACTGGGATAATTTTTGTTGGAGCCGCGCCCAGCTGTGGCGGCGAGGAGCCCCCCCGAAGCTAAATAGCAAGGAGCGGCGAAGAAGCGGAGGAGGAGGAGGTGGAGGAGGAGGAGGAGGAGGAGGACAAGGAGGAGTTTGATCTGTAGCCATTTTGGCTCAAGCCGCGCGCGCGGGCCCTGCGGGCCAGCCCCATGCTTCCCGTCCGCCGCCAGGTGCAGAAGCTTGCGGACAGGGGCGGTGCCTGATGTTCTTTTTTGCTCTCTTCTCTGAGATTTCATCAAGATAATTGCTTGTTACGAGAATACTAACAACCGACACGAGTCGAGACCGTTACAGAAGGCGGTTTGCCGCATCGCATACGCGGCGAGGAAGGGAAAACGAGTCAATCTTTCAGACTGGAAGGACGCACTGAAAGGGTACCGTCTATCCAGTGAGCGCCCCGTTGCACCGCCCGATGCGACGGTCGCACAGGAAACAATTGTGAGCGAGGCGAAGATGCAGTGCATTGTGATCCAAGTGGCGGTTCCTTGCAGTTCGAATGGACACAGCGCAGACGTGATAAGCTGCCAGCTGCCGGCTTACACCCCGGGGGTCGCTTCCAAGCAACCTGGCTACAACGGCTACGACGGTTTCGGTGGCTACCAGCATTCCCTGGGCACGGTTCAAGAAGTGGCAGGCAGTGGCAGCGTCGGTGGTCAAGAATGGGCGGGCAGTGGCAGCAGCGATTGCGAACAGACGGAAGCGAGGCGGCTGCACGAAAGCTTCAGCTACCAGTCAGAGGCGATGCTGGAGGCCGATGCTGCCAACCTAGACGCTAACCTAAATGACAGAAGCGGCTCGAGGAAACAAAGCGAGAAACGTCAGGATCCCAAACTACCGCCCAGTGGCGAGCCGAAGATACAGCTAGAGGCCAACACCACCAACTACAGTGCAGGAGTCAGGGCATGCGAGAAAGGCATGGCGCAAAAGGTGCCCGACGCCTTCAGCTACAGTCGCGGAGTGTGGGCCCGTGACAGCTCCACGGCGGGCGTCGCTTATCCCACGGAGACCTGCCTGCAGACGGCGGCGGGGGCCCTGCGAGCGGCCGCCGCTCGCCGCGCCGCCGCCTGCAAGGAGCCAGGCGCCGACAGCGCCGACAGCGGCGACGACGGCGCGAACGCGAACGCGAATGCCGACGCCAAGGAGGATGAGGAGGACTGTCAGGGCGGCAGCGACCCCGCAGCGGCTACGAGAGAATCGACGGCAGTGGCAGCGAGACAAGAGGCGGGTGGCAGCGGACAGCTGTGCGAGAACGGAGGCGGAAGAGGCGGCAGCGGCGGCAAGAAGAAAGGCGGCAGTGGCAGTGGCCAGCGAACGCGGCAGCAGCGACCGCGAGCAGACGGAGGCGAGGCGGGCGCACGACAACACCAGCTACCAGTCAGAGGCGAAGCTGGAGCCCGATGCCACTAAACTAGACGCTAACCCAATCGACGGAAGCGGCTCGAAAGAACAGTGCGAGAAAGGACAGCGCCTCAGGCTGGCGTGCAGCGGGAAGCCGAAGGCAAAGCTAGAGCCCGACACCACCAGCTACAATGCAGGAGTGGCAGCGGGCAGTGGCAGCGGGCAGTGGCGCGAGCAGGGGGGGCGCCGCGACCGTCAACCACCCCCCTTCGACGCCCCTCGACGAACCCCCCCGACGGCGCCCCTCGACGACCCCCCCGACGACTTCCCTCTTCGCCCCTCGACGCCCCTTTGCCCCTCGACGCCCTTCGGCGCCCTTCGACGACGACCCCAGACGCCCCTCGACGCCCCTCGACGACCCCGGGCCTCTGACGAGCCGTGGCAGCGGGCAGTGGCGCGAGCAGTGGCAGCGGGCAGGGGCGCGGGCAGTGGTGCGATCAGTGGCGGCGGGCAGTGGCAGGGCAGCGGCAGCGGGCAGTGGCAGCCGGCAGCGGGCAGTGGTGCGAGCAGTGGCAGCGGGCAGTGGCTGCCTGCAGCGGAGGTCGCCCCTCGACGACGCCCCTCGACGACCCCCCTCGATGACCCCCCGTGCCCAGCCCCCCGACGACCCTCGAAGACCTCCTACGACCCCCGACGACCTTCGACGTCCCTTGACGACCCTCGACGCCCTGCAACGGCGCCCCCCCAATGGCGTGCGGCAGCCATCGCAGCGCTCCAGGCGGCAGGATAACCCCCCCCCGACGCCCGCTGCCATGTCGACATGGTTCTCAACAGCGGCACCGTTCCAGCTTGCGCCAAGGAGACCCTCGCAGGCCTCGGCGGCCCCTGGCCCCAAGACCACTCACTCCCACAGGGGGGGCTCCGACGGCCTTCCCGACGATAACGCCCCAGCGAGCGGCAGCCCCTGGCCCCAGGACCATTCCCACGGGGGGCTCCGACGGCCATTCCAACGACAACGTCCCAGCGGTCCACAACGACACAGTGAGACAGGCGCGTCTGCGAGAAGAGGCAGCGGCAGCAGGCAGAGGCGCGAAGCAGGGAGGCAACACGTTACCAGCTACAAACACCGTGAGCGAGCCGCCAGCCTGGCGGCCAGGCCTCCGGACGCCCCCGACCCGGAGGGCGCCGACGCCGACCCCGACGCCGAGGAAGCGCACTCGAACAGCGAGCTCCTCGCCGCCCCCCCCCCCCCCCCTCGGGTGGTGAGCGCGCCGCCCTCCTCAGGCGGGGGGGGGCTGGCGGCCGCCGAGGGGGGGGCAAGATCGTCGCGTTCGGCTACGGCAGGGAGTGCCCCTCTTGAGGAGGAGGGAGCGGTGGACCCTCCTTCCTTGCGCCCCCCCCCCCCCCCCCCCCCCCATCGTGGAGGGCACAGGGCCGTTATGCAGAAGGATGCAGAAGGAGGAGTTTGAACGCTGGGGGACACATGAGGCCAGACGTGCTCGCATCGCTGGAGGTGTGGGTGGTCTTCTGGTCGTCGCTCCGGCCCCGTCCGCCTGCCCGTCCGCCGCCAGGGCGGCGGCTCCCTCCCGAGGCTGGGCAGCGGCTGGGAGCCTCGAGCTCTCCGACACTTTGTCGCCGAGGCCAGCTCTCCGTCGCGGCTTCGCGGGCGAACCGCGACGGAGGCCCGGCCTCCGGGGTGTCAGAGATGGCTTCGGCGGACCCGGGGCTTAGAAATGGCCTCAGGATTCGGAGCGACGCTGAGCTAGGCCTCCCAGATGGGTTCCGAGTAGATGGGGTCGGAGGATCGCGCTGCATCGCCGATGCATCGCCGATCCGGCTCGATGTGGAGTCGATTTGCATCAAATCGACGTCGCCCATGCATCGCCGACGTCGGCGATGCATCGCCGATGCATCATCGATGTATCGCCGATGCATCGGCGATGCGGCACGATCCTCTGGCCCCGTCCACTCTGACCCCATCTAGGAGGCCTCCAGCCAACCGACGCCGCCACCGGCAGGCCATCTCCACCGAGCAGGTCTGCGGCGCCTCCCCGGGCTGGAGGCGGGGGGGGCGCCTCGAGCGGGACGCCGCAGCACGGGGGGGGGGGGCGCGCTACTGGCGGCGCGAGCAAGGGGGTGTCGGAGGGCAAGTCTGCCTCTTTCTCTGTGTAGCCTCAAGCGTGTGGGGGCACACTGGATGTCGTTACATCTATAGACGTACTCGGGGTAGATGCGTTTGTGGGCAGCGCGGCCCTTGCGGTCGGCGCGGTGCAAGGTCGGAGAAAGGCTGGGGTGCCCGAGGGAGGGCGGCCTTCTAAGAAGGCGGAGGCTTCTTAGAAAGCAGGTGAGTGACGCAGGGAAACGGTTTCGACTGCGCCGACATCCGCGCGCAAGTTGCCTGCGCAAGATGGCACTTCAGCGCCCCCGTTTCCAGTGTAGCGTGGCCGTGCTGGCGGCTCGCCCAAGCCAAAGCGCACGGTCGCCATGCCTGTCGCGCAAGGCCCAGATGCGGCTCTCCAGTCCGCGAGACCAGCCTCGTGATTTACAGTCGTTCGCGCAATGCGCACTTGCGAAACCAGCGGTGATTTATGCGCACCCCTCTTTTGTCCCTGAAAGACGCCTTCTTCGAAAGCCCTGTCCTCGCCACCCCCTGGCGCGCGCAGGGGGCCACCGCCCGGCTCCTCGCGACGGCGGCCGCGCCCGTGTTCCGCGCTCGCGTTCGGCCACGCGCAGTGAGAGGGGCGGGGGGGGGCCGGGGAAGCCGAGGAGGAAATTGCGCCTACATCGGCGCACCGAAAATTTATTCCGATTTGCGAGGCACGGCGCCGGGCGAATGCAGAGCAAACGCTATGGTGGAAGGGCGCGGCAACGCGTGCCTCCTGGACAAGCGCGAGCAGCCGCGCCCCTGTACGAACCCCGATCCCGCGCGGGGCGCGTTCCCGTTTGACAGTGGCTCACCCGGAAACCGTTCCTTGTGCAGGAAGTCCTGAACAGTCGGCCCATTGGCGGCTCCTTCGGACGAGGCCCGGATCCACGGAGAAACCGTTTGCCATAGGATGTTTTAAGCGGTTTGCCCATGTTCGGTTTCTTCGGAGTGGACCAGAAGACCCCGAGATATAAGTTTTGGTTTGCGAAAAGTCCCAGGCGGTTCGCACATTTTCGAGTCGTTTGAAGTGGGCCCGACACTGTTGTTTGGCACGCGTCCTATGGATTTGGCCACTTTCAGATAGGTCGATAAACTTTTCGGGTCGTCGCATGACCGAACCCGAAAGCTTTGTTCGAGGAGGTCCTATGCCGTTTGCTCATTTTCGGGTCAGTACACCGCTTGGGATTTAAAATTTGAAATTGGGAAGGGGAACCCGATCCTGCGACCCCGGGCGGGGATTAGGCTCTGCCCTTGCATTGTACTGGGCCCCTCTGGCCAAACGGGGCGCTGGGCTGCCCGTGGGCGCGCCGACTTTGCCTTCGCGACGTCGCCCCCATCCGCGCTCGGGCCCCGCGAGTATTATCCTGCGCGCGCCATCTTAGATGGCCCCGGCGAGCACGGTGGCGAAATTGGGGGAACTTTCGGATCGGCGCAGTATGCCGCTGCCCTTGCCTCGATTCCCCCCCTTGGGCATCCTGGGAGGCCATCGGCGCCGCCGCTGGATTGGAGGCCCGGGGAGCAGCGGCATCGGTGCCTCTTTGGCTTGCCCGGGGAAGGCTTCTGAGAAGCAGCCCTGCTTCTTGGAAGGCGCGGGTCTTCTCTCTAGATGCGAGGCCGGCGCCCTGTAAGGACCAGCTTCCTTCAACGAAGCCGCCCCCCCTCCCCCTACCCCCCACCGCGTGCCGCCAAACGGTGGCAGTTCCGATGTTCCGTGTTCATTTTCTGTGTTCCGGCACGGCGCGCTCCGGCGCACGGTTGCCCACGCACCGCGGCGGCGAAATCTGAGCCCTTGCTACGCCGATCAACGATTCAGGCCGCTCGATGGGCGGCGGGGGCAGGGCTCGGATTTCGTCGAGCACTTTGCGAAATGCGGTGCATCCCGCCGACCCCCACCAGCTCGGGCGAATCGATGGTTGGTGGTGGCAGGGTTCGGATGTCGCCACCCGACACTGGCCTGCCGCTCGGCGATCGACGTTCGAGCCATATTGCCCCAACTCCTGAGCGGCAGGAGAAGCATGTATCGATGGAAAGCTACGCGCGTGGGGCAAGGTTCTTGTCGATGCCCCCACCCTTTGTCCAGTGATGAGAGTGGGGCGCGGGCAGGGGCAGGGCTCGAGCTCCACGGTGCTTGGGCGATCTCGTGGCCCGTTTCCGTTTTGATTCCGTTTCGCAGCAGTGGCAGAGCGAGCACAGGACGGGGGAAAACACGAAAACGACACGAACACGAAACACACGGCCTATAGGTCGATCCCTGCCTAGGCCCCACGTTGGGGGCTTTGGGGCACGGGCAGAGCGCCGAGCGCCCAAAACTGCCTCCTCCGCGCGCCCAACCGTCGGAGGGAGAGGACCCGGGAACACGCTCTTCGGAGGGCCCCCCTGCGGCCCCCCCCCCGCCCCCGGCCTCCCCCCCGTGCTTTTTCCGTGAGGGTTTAAGTCGGGCTTGTCCCTCTACAGGAGGAGCAGCCAAACACAGTCCAAAAATTAGTCTGGGGGCCACCTTGTTTAGTATGTTCGAGTAGTTGTTTGCACATTATTGGGGGTATTTGTTATTTTCGTCCACAATCCCCCTTTAGGGGGACAGGCACGACCTAAGTGTGGGTGGACGACACCGCCGCCGCCGACGACGACGACGACGACGCCGCCGACGACGACGACGACGCCGACGCCGACGACGACGGCGGCGAGGGGCGTCGCGGCGGGCCGGGGGGGCCCGACGGCGCAGGGCCGCGGCCGCCGCGAGCTCCCCCCCAGCCGAGGCACCGGCGAGTGGTGGTCGCGGGCCGGCACCTCGGAGAGCAAGCAGGAGCCCCCCCGCGGAGGTCGGGTGTCGCTAGAAGTGCCCCCGGCCAAAGGTGCCCCCAGCTGTCCGCTCCCCTGGGGCCCTCGGTCGACTACACGTAAGAGTAACCCTTCGTCGGAGTGACCTCTGGTGCGGGCTCAATGGGGTCCCCCGATCGCCGAGAGCGATGGGGCAGTAGCGTCTTGCGCGCTTGTGTTCGGCCCCCGCGCGGCCCCCCAAAAGCCGCGCACCAAAGGTCACTCTTACCCAGGGTCACTCTTGCGTGTAGCCGACTCTGGGCCTCGTGAGGGGTGCCTTGGAGGCCGTCTGGGCCACCCCAATAATCCTAGGGGTACCTTGGGCCAGGGGTACTTCTAGCAGCACCCGCGAAGGGGTCGGCGAGCACGGAGAGGATCGAGCAGTTTTCAGGAGGGGGCAAACACGCACAGACACGACGAATCGGTCCCCCGAGAACGGGAGAACATATGGGAAGCGGGGGGGACGACGAAACCCGCAAAAAGATTTGAACGCATGGGGAATCCTGTTGTTGGTGTGCGCGTTTGTTTGCAAGTCCTCGGGCCCCTTTGACGCTTTCCGCGCGCAGCGCGGCAGGGGCGAGGCGCACGCGCGCTCCGGCGGGGCCAGGCTCGGGCACGCGAGAGTCGCCCGGCGGCCAGAGGGGGCCAGGGCGGAGGGCGGCCGCGGGGGGCGGGGAGAGGAGGGGGTCGAGGGATCGCCGAGCGCGTTCCGCTACTCGCAGAGTGCCTACTCGCAAGCGCCCGAGAAAACACATGCCTGTTTTGATGTGACTTATCGCAGATCCCCCGCGGTGGATCCAGGCCGTTTGCGAGTAGGTACTATGCGAGTAGTGGAACGCGCTCGTTTAAGGGAGGAAAAAACACCCAGACCAGACAATTGGCGTTTACTGAACGGCCCTGGGCGTTTACTCCACAGCCATGCCCTGTCTGATTCCTTCTCTGGGCGCGTTTACTGAAAGGCCTCGCGTGTCGGGGCGGTTATTATATCGGGGTTGGTTGCCTGTCCTCCAGGGAGGACGCTTACAGCAAAAATAATCGGCACAGTTAAGGATTCGTTTCTCGGAGCTCTGCGCGGATTCCTTGGATCGGCGTTGGGCCCCCCCTGGCGGCGCCGCTGTCGCCGCCCCTCGCGCGCTCCGTGCGCCGAAGAGGGGGGTCAAGCGCAGATCCGAGAGATCCTCACGGACCTCTGAGAACATATGGTTATCGTGCTGCTTGTTCTTCTAGAGGATCAGCGATGCTCCCAGACATCCCACGACATGTTGTTTTTCAGTCCTGACGTTTGTTGTTGCAACTGCGGCCTCGGGGGGCCCGTTGCCGGGCCAGATTCAGGAGGAAAAGACACACACAGACACAATTAATCTTCGATTTCCCAGAAAATATGGGAAAATATGGGAAGTGGGCGGGAAGACAGAAACCCAGAAAATATGGGAAACTATGGGGGATTATTTTATTTGTGTGTATTTATTTGTGTGTCCTTGGGCCCCTTCACAGATCTACGACGGAAAAATACCCCTGGGGAAGCGGTCGGGACCTTTGGGGCCGCCGAGTGGAAAAACACAGATCGGTCGGCGGGTGTCCAGGTTTTCGGATGTTCCAGGCTTCCAGGGTCAACGCCAAGAAGGGGGGGGGGGGGACAGGCCCAGGAGCGGATGCAGCGACCCCCAATCGCGCGTTGATCGCCTGTGGGGGCTCGATAGTTCACCTCGCCAAGGAACGCGCGGCTTCCGCTATCGGGGACCTATCGCCAATACGTAAATTGGCGATGTGTCGACGATTCCAGGTCGGCGTTTCCCCCTCTGAGGCGGTCCCCCCCGACGATCGTAGCCCCTCAGTTGTTGCATGCATCTGACGTTTTTTTGTCACTGTGGCCTCCTGGGAAGTACGCAAGTGGCTTCTTGGATGCCTGTGGGCATCTCTGGGGGGGCCCTCTCGGAAGCTTCTTGGCGGCAGTCCTTGGGGCGCCCAGGGGGCCTTTGGGGGGACCTCTCTCAGCTCTCGACAGGGCGCACCCACAATCATACGGTGACGGCGTTGCCTTCCGTTTCTGATTCTCTTGCCGCCCCCTCCGCGTGCCAGGGTCGCAGCCCCCGACTCCGCCTGTCCGAGCCTGTTGGCTGTTGGGACTTCGGCTACCCCTGGAGCAGGGAGCCTCCGGGGACTCGGGTCTCCTTGGCATCGCCCTGACGTTTGCAGTTTTCTCGGCGAGATCGTTGAGGAGCATCCTGGATCCTCCCGCGGAAAAAAACACGCACGAGACCGAAACATGCACGGGGGATGGACGGCCGCCGAGCGATGGCAAGTCTCGCCCACGGTATCCCATGACGCGGCGCTGCAAGCCCCTTCCGCGGAAGGAGATCCGGACCCGCATCACGCACTTGCTCAGCGCCCTGGTCGCAGCGCCAGGCAGGCCCTGCTCTCCTCCGGCCCGTCTGCGCTCTCCCCTGCCCGCGGCGAGGAGCATCGCCAAGGCACGGGGAGGGGAAGAGGATGCCGCACACGGAGGAGGAATTCGGACTCCCTCCCCCCTCCTCTCTCTGCCCCCCAGCCCTGCCCGCACCGCCCTGAAGGGACCTGGGCGGTCGTCTGGACGATGGGCGGCCCAGTCCCATTCCAGTCCCTTCTCCTCCTCCTCCCCCTCCTCCTCCCCCTCCTCCGCCCCCTCCTCCTCCTCCTCCTCCTCCTCCCCCTCCTCCTCCTCCTTCCTTTCCTCCTTCCTTTCCTCCTTCCTTTCCTCCTCCCTTTCCTCCTCCCTTTCCTCCTCCCTTTCCTCCTCCCTTTCCTCCTCCTCCTCCTCCTCCTCCCCGGGCCCGGCACGTGGCGGGCTCCAGATGGCCTGGAGGGTGCCGAAGCGCCACCCCGAGCCGCGCAGTCATGCAGAGAGGTTCCAGGCCCCTGCGGGGTCAGCAGGGTCTCTGCGCTCGGGAGCGAAAGAAGGACGCACACCGGAGGGGGACAGACCTCCCACCCTGACACGTCGGGGGGGAGGGGCGGGCGGACGTGCGGACGGGTGGGGCAGGGCAGGGCGCGCGCGGGAGGAGGTGGGGGAGAGGGATGGTCCGGGGTGGACAGACCTCCTACCCTGACACGTCGATTCGCGAAATTGGCCGTTTCCGGTTCGCGAGAGGGCGTCGCGGCCGTCATTTTCGCGGGTCCAGGTCCGTCGGTTTCGGTACCAGGCCGTTTTCGCTCAGGGGAGGTTTACCAAAGGGAGGTTCTGTCCACCGCCGAGTACACGTACATGAATCCACGCTGGTTCCGAGAGTACGCATTGCGCAAATGTTCGTACCACGCGGCCGGTCTCGCAGATCGAGGGGCCGTGTTCATGTACATAGTTGGGCGCGCACGTCTCTTGTGGGCTCCCTACGCGCGAGCTGCCGCACCGCCCGTCCGGCGAAGTGCGGCAGACCGGCAGGAGCTCGGCCCGCTGAAGCGAGCAAGGTCGAGGCGAGCTCGCCGTGACGCAGAGGAGTCCTGAGCGAAAGGGGCCCTGGGCGTAAGCACATCAGCTCAAAACACGTAGGGCCGTCTGTTTCGTTTTCGAGATTTACGTTTTGTCTACTCAGTGTCGGGGGGTGTTGGCTTCTCCCGTTGTGGGATTCTCGCTCGCGCAGTTTTCGGAACGGTTCCGATGTGTGCTGCCGTTGTTTGTCATGTCTTGAGTTGCCGTTTGTGTTACTTCCGGTGGAAATTCTCGTTCGCGCCATTTCATTTCGGGTCGGTTCCTACATATACTGCAGCGATTTCCTGTTTGGGGTTGTTGTGGTTTCCGTTTTGGTTGGCCGAAACTGAACGTCGAAAACGTTGAAAAGAAACAACAGCACGCTCCAGTTGTTTAAACATCAATTCAGGTCCTGAGTTTGTAACCTTGGGTGAATAGTTGGTCCTGGGTTTATTGGGGGAAGGCCCATGGGTTCAGGACCCGCTTCCCTCAGCCCCTAGTTGCTTCGTCTCAGCGAGCCCCCTTCTACGTGCAGGGTATTTCTTGGCTTCCCAAATGGGGTCCGAGCAGATGAGGTCGGAAGATCGCGCCGCATCGCCGATGCATCGGCGACGTCGGCGTGGAGAAAGTTGGGCTTCACATCGAGCCGTTTCGCCGATGCATCGACGATGCGGCGCGATCTTCCGATCCCATCTACTCGGACCCCATCTCGTGCGGGTGGAGACGAGGGTCCTAAGGATGCTCTTCAGGGCCCATTTGGAGCCTTTAGGGTCCCAGAAGTATCCCTAACGAGCCCCTTTCAGGCCCTTCTCCTAACCCCCCATTTGGGTCACCCACAGTACCACCCGCCCGACGATCTAGGAGGCCCTGAGTTTGGGCGCGGGACCTGCAAACGTGGGGCGGCGCCTTCCTGGCAGGCGGGCTCAGCAGCTCAGCGCTCCGGGCCTTGGCGTCTGGGACTCGGCGCTCCAGGCTTTGGCGTCTGGACCTGCCTGCTGCCCCGGGACTACCGGAAGACGACTCAGGATGAAGTGCTCGTCCCGAGGGAAGGCCCCGGGGTCCAGGACCCGCTTCCCACAGGACTCGTTTTCCCCCATGCTAAGTATGCGCAAACGAAGGCAGCAGTCTACCGAGAATGTCTCTCACGTTGCCCATGTCTTGCCGGCGTACTGTGTCGGAGGTCAGGGGGGTCAGAACGAAGAGGCCCTGACAGAGAAATCGGTTTCGGTGTCGGTCCGTGAGGTTCGTGCGGACAAGGTGACGTCGTGTGGGGGTGACGATGTGTCGGCCGAGGCTGGGGCTAAAACAGTCAGCAAGTCTCTGTCCCCGTCTCCCGAGAGTTCGCGGGGTTGTCCCGTGAGTTGTCCCATGGTTGTTTCGTGGGTTGTGTCGTGTGATGTTTTGTGGTTTGTCCCGTGGTTGCCCCGTGTGTTGTGTTGTGGTTGTCCCGACATGCACATCGAAGGGCAAACCTGGATGCAATCCTGACAGTACTACAGACATGCTGCATCTGCCGATCGTAGATCGTAATATCGATATGTCACACAGCAGGGCATGTTGATGGCACCGCATTCGGACCACATGCACATCGAAACACACTTTGAGTGCAGTCCATGTGATACAACCTGTGGACGCGTTAGCCTGCGTGGACCCCAAGGCATTGACATATGTTATCATTGAGGCGGAACCTCTGAAGTTAGACCCTGAAGTGCAAGTTGTGTTTTGTAAGCTTTGCAGTGAGAGCTATGCGGAGTACGCTGTGATGTGTACGCTATGTTATGCAAGGTTAGCGATCTGAACTCTGTGGTGTCAGTTCTGCGCTGTAAGCTCTGGTGCAAGCCATGTGGTGTAAAAGATCTGGTGTAAGCGCATGGGGTGCTAACGGGGCGTTCACGAGCGGGCACGGGCGCCAACGCTTTGGCATCCTGGGGAGCTCACCCAGCGCACAGGGCGGCCACGAAGCGCCCACGAGAGGGCATGGGCGCTAACGCGGTGAATCATCGGGAAACCCACCCAGCGCACGGGGCGCCCACGAGGCGCGCACGAGCGGGCATGAGCGCCAATTTGACGAACACCCAGGACACCCATCCAGTCAATAGATAATCAAAAGTGAGCACACGCAAGTGCAAGCATTGGTCGGGGAACATCGTAGAACAGAGGAACTGATGAGAACACACAGAGTTATGTATACATATCGATAAGCAGTAGATCGGAAGGCATATATTTGATATTCAGAGTGCTAGTCCAGCAGATGGGTAGTGATACCGACCGATAGGCAGTGAGGTAGCTAAATTGCCATTCGGCGTGAACCTAATCGCGAACTGAAAGTTGCACCTATCCCCCTTCAACAATCTCCCTATCACCAGATGGCTGGTCTATGAGTTACATTTTAGAGGCAGGCAGTTGCAGTCCAGCAGCGTTGTTGTCAGAAGCAATATTCGAAACCTGAGTGATAGTTGCATTCAAGCTTTCCCGCGAGTCCTGCGAATCTGAACTGCGAGTCTCACTTCTCGATTCTGGAACAAATTATAGCAGCCCTCTGCGAGCTTCATGCCACACACCATTCCCAGATCATACCCAGAACTCCGACGACTCCAATATTTGAGTCGCTGGCCCCAAGCCCCTGGCCCAGCAGGCGCCCTTGCACGCCGAGCGTGACGAGAAGAGCATCCGGCGCGAGTTGGGCGATTCACCAGAGGTCCGCGTACGTATTCTGTGCCATGTGTTTCGAGAGGCGTTCGGTGTAGAGGCGGGGGTCGAACAACACACCGCTTCATGCACACACTCGTTCCTGTGGGTCCGCGCGGATCGCATGGGCCGGCGCCGGAATCACCCCTCCTGGGACCACGGAGCGCGCCGCGGCGACGCAGGAGGTGCCGCCAGGTTGGGCCCGGCGCCGGTCCCGGACATCGGCGAGAAAGCCCCCTGGACGGTCACGCTGAACTCGGGCCTGTCCTCCCACAGGGGCATCGTGGGTGAGAAACTAGCAAAATACTCCAAACATACCCCCAGCATGCTGAACAAGAATCAAACAATAGTCCCCTGACTGCTTGTTGACTTACAGGGGGATCGTGGGCGAAGAACTAACAAAATACTAAAAAAAATACCCCCCACGTGCTGAACAATAATCAAACAATAGTCCCCTGACTGCTTGTTCTTGGCATCTCTCGGACGTGTGCATTTTTCCTTCGGCGAGGACCATCGAGGAGCATCCTTGATCATTCGGCGAAAAAACCACGCACGAAATCGAACAAAGCACAGGGAATGGACGTCCGAGCGATGGCGAGTGTTGACTATTCTTGAGTACTCCCCCTGCAGAGGGGCAGGCCCGACGTCTGGCCACGCCCGCGGAGCTCGGCTGCTCTCCCGTGGGCGCGGCGCGGCCTCGGCGGGCGCCCGCCCCCCCCCCCCCGGAGGGGACGCCTGCGCCCTCGTGGGCCACTCGCTGCTGTTCTGCGAGCTCTTTCGGGAGCCCCTTGCCGCCGCCCGCGGCCGGGAGCGAGAGGCCCTCGGCGGGGTCGCGGGGTGCCTTCTCTCCCTCTCCTCGGCTCCCTCGCCCTCTTCCTTCTCCTCCTCCTCCTGAGGGCCCGGGGGCTCGAAGCAGGCCCCGGGGAGGCCGAAACCCGCCGTGATGTGATCGGGGGGGGTCTCCTCCCCCCCCCCCGATCACGCCCGTTACGTGGATGATATGACAAACAGGCTTTTTGGTCGGTGAGCGCCAGGTCTGTCCTCGGAGCCCAGTCCTGACCCAAGAAGTGCAGTCCGCGCAGACCTCCGAGCGTTCCAGTGAGCTCCAGTCTTGGGGGTCCCTTGGGCCGCTTCGGGCCGGGTTGGGGCCCTCTTGGGCCCTCTTGCAGCTCTCTCGGGCCTCGTTTGCCGCTGGGGGGTGCTCTTGCGCCCGTGGTGGAGCTGTCTTGAGGTCGTCTTGGGACGACGACTCCCTCCAACGCGGTCTTGAACCTGGAAACCTTGCTGAGCCAGCTTGGGGCCTTCTGGGGCCATTTAGGTGTCCCCTCAGGATGTCTTGAGGCTGAGGGATTATTAGGTCAATCGAGGGCCCTCTTGGGCCGTGCTGGGACCATCTTAGGAACTTCTAGTGCCGTCTGTTGCCCATGAAGCCGAAGGAAGTTCGAAAAGATGAAGCCCCCCCCACTTCTTGTAAAGCCTTGGGGCAAGCAGCGATTTCGGCCGCTCCGGGCCCTACTTTGGGGGTCCTCGGGTCGTTCTCTTGGGGGGTCTCGGGGTCTCTTGGGCCGTGTGGAGGCTACCGTGGGGCCGTCGTGGGGCCATCTCTTGGGGCCGTCTTGGAGGCATCTTGGGCACCCCGTCGATCTCGGCGGCCTGCCTCGGCCGCTGGCAGCTGCAGCACACGGCTCCATCCTCCTGGCATGCAGCATCGCGGCCTCGGGAGTGCGGGTCCATCGTTTGTTTTGCTGACAGGTCGCGGCCTCGGGAGGAGGGGGCGATGCACGCGGACGTCCGCGTCGAGAAGTCGGGGGGGGGGCCCGAGGCAGACACCGTTTCGGACCGTCCGCGATGCACGCGACGATCCGCGTCGATCACAGAAACTCTTACCAGGCAGCACGTGTCGTCCTACCACGCCTCAGCGTGCCAGGTCGCACGGCGGCGCATGCTGCTTCGCAATCCCAGGCCGCGGTGGCGCCACCCCCCCCGTTGCACGCGCGGCCCGAGGGGTGCCGCGAGCGGGGGCTGGGAGCCCCAGATGGAAGCAACGTGCGGAAGGGCGGTCGTGCGTTTGGATTGGGGTTGGACTTGTGTGTGTGTGTGTGCCCGTGCTCACGTGTTCGGTAGCAAAGCATGGGAGCCTCGTATACCCTCGCAACCCCGACTTCACAACACACTAGCGTTGATCAGCGCCGATTAATCGATGGCATTGCGCCCATTTGGCATCCATGAGCGTCGATCAGCGTCGAGCTAGCGTCGATCAGGGCCGACTGGCAAGACACAACAAGATGGTACGGACAGCTCCCATGAAATGCCACCGGGCATGTGTTTCTTTGCGCGCTCGTGTGCTTGATTGTGTGTGCGTGTGCGCGTTTGTGGCCGTAGCCATGGCTCCAGTCTTCCGCGCTGGCTGTTGACGGCCTTCCGGCGCATGCATTTGCTGATGCCGGCGATCAGCTGCGACGTGCCGTGGCCGGGACTGCTCCTCGATCAGGAGGCGGTCGCGGCCGCGCGGGCTCTGGCCGCACGGCCCCCGTCGTGCCTGCGAGTGGTGACCTGGAACGTGTGGTTCGACGCCGTCTGCGCCGCGGAGCGCCAGGCGGCTCTGCTCCGGGAGGTGCTGTCCGCCGCGCCCGACGTGGCGTGCCTCCAGGAGGTCGTGCCGGCCTTCGCCGAGGCCGTGCGCAGCTGCGAGGCCCTGGCGGCGGTCTACCGGGCCTCCCCGCAGGCCGTGGGGCCCTAATCCAATAGCCCTTATAACGGCGACGATGGAACACAGTGCCGGGGAACTGCTTTGAACATCACCAGTCGTTCAAAGCAGTGCCCCGGCACTGCTATTGAACGATGCGGAAATGCGATCAGCAGGAGCCTTCGTCTGTTCCTTCTCCTCTTCTCGTCGCTGTATGCTCTTCCTTGTCCTCCCTCCTCCCCCGTTCCCTCTCTAATTAATTACCTCGTTCTCCCAGTCTCACGCGCACTCTTCCTCCCCCCTCTCCTCCTCCTCTTCCTGCTTCTCCTCCTCGTCCTCCTCCTCCTCCGCCTCCTCCCCCTCATTTGTTATATTTCTCCGTCCTTGTCCTCCTGTCCCCGTTCTCCTTCTCCCTCTCCTCCTCCTCCTCCTCCTCGTCGTCGTCGTCCTCCTCCTCTTCCTCCTCCTCCTCCTCCTCCTCCTCTTCCTCCTCCTCCTCCTCCTCCTCCTCACCTTCTTCCTCCTCCTCCTCCTCCCCCTTTTCCTCTCCCTCCTCCTCCTCCTCCTCCTCCTCCCCCTTCCCCCTCTTCCTCCTCTGCTATCACTCCTCCATAATTCCTGTCCGCTCCTCCCCTTCACTGATCTTCCTCTTCGTCATCATCATCCCTTTCGTCGCACGCCTCTTAATCCTCAATCGGTTCCCAATCTTCTCGACTTTCTTGTCATCCGCGTCCTTGGCTGTTGGAGGGGCCTCAGGAATTCTCAGGGCTCTTGTGTTGCACGCGAAGGCACACCTCCCAGGAACGCATCATCCTCCTCACATTCACCCTCCTCCTCCTCATCCTCCTCCTCCATGCACGTTCGGCTCAAGCCCGCGCCGACGGTAGGTTTCACGGCGGTTGGGCGGGCTCGCGCCCGCCTCCGCGGCCTGCAGTCGGGGCAGAGATGCGTGCAGGGTGGGATGACAAAGCGGAAGAGGAAACACGGGCCGCAGTTGCGGATTCTTCAAAGAGCAGCGGCGGCGGTTGGGGAACAAGTGGGGGTTGGGGCGGCCGCAGTGGCGGATACGGCGGCGGAGGTGACCGCAGTGGCGGCTGGGGCGGCGGAGATTCTCTTGGCGGATGGAGAGGAAAAGCGCAGGATGGCGGCGACGGAAGTGACCGCAGTCGCGGATGGGAGGGCGGCGGATGGGGCGGCAACGGATGCGAGGGTTGGGGAATGGAGGGCGCCCGCTGGTGGGACGACGAGGGTGGCTGGTGGAATGCATGGGAAGGTGGCCGCTCGAGTGCCTCGGCAGGTTCTCCTGCCGCGGAGCCCGCGGCCGCAACAGCGGCGGGCAAAGGAGGCGGTCCCCTGCTTCCCCCAGGGCGCGAAGAACAAGGCGCAGTTGCGCTGTTTCAAATTGTGCGCAATGAGCCGCTGCCAATTTTCAAGTTGGAATTCTTCGAGAACTTCAGGGCGAACTGGAACGGCAATTATAAGCAGCACAACGCGGCCTTGAAGTGGTTCCGAGACGAGTACGAAGACCGAGAAAACCCTTTCGGCAGCCGCACGCCCGTCTTCGGAGGTACCGCAGTTGCGGAGGAAATTTCGAAGATCCTTAAGTACCGCGCAAAGGGGAAGGCGCAGGACAACAGGGATTGGGACTGGGACCACACTGTCAAAGTGCCGTGGTCTTGGCTGGAGATGGTCGCGCAGATGGATGGACCTACAATGCTGCGCGTCGTGTGCGGCCCTGACAATGACCGCAGTCGCGGGTTGGTCCGCTGCGAGTGCCGCCCGTGCCCTAGCAGTCTCGACAACATGAGGCACACGAAAGGGGTGGACAGAGGACAGGCGCAAAGAATCCCTCTGCCCCAGTGGGATTTCGTCCTCATCCGCGACGACGGCTCGGGCATTCGCGTCCACCCATCCTGGTCTAGCCCGAAGTTCAACACGTATGAGGTGGAGCCGCACTCGCATCCCGTGCGGGGCCCGAGGGCAGGTCTCGGCAAGAGCGATGGCCACGGAACGTTCACGTTCTGGAAGATGCTGCACGCCCATCCGAATCCTGGGCGGTTCGACGCGAGCAAGGGGGCGCAGCTGCAACCGCGGTGGTCCGCGCAGCCTTGACACCGCAGTTGCGGGATTGCGCAGCCATGGAACCGCAGTTGCGGGGACCGATCGCGTGACGCCGCGCTCGTTTGACTCACTATGCGCGCTTTCGGCCGCAGTTGCGGCGCTGCCTTCTAGCGACTTCATACAGCTTGGCCGCAGTTGCGGCGCTCCCACGACTGACCGCTGTAATTAGGTGCTTCGGGCGCGCATCACCTCCGTTGAAGCACTCGTGACGTTAATTAGCGCGGCCGCAGTTGCGGAGACAGGTACTTAAACAGATGGATCCGCAGTTGTTCGTCGTCCTCGTCGCCCCTTCCCCGTCGTCCTCGTCGCAGTCTCCTCCCTCCGCCTTTCCTCCTCGTCGCAGTTCCTTCCGTTGGCCGTAGCCCGCCTCCGTTGGCCGAGTCATTTCCCGTCGTCCTCGTCGCAGTCCCCCCCGAGGGCCGCAGTTGCGGACTTTGTTGATTCCTCCTCCTCCGTTTCTGCCCCGTCATCCTCGTCGCAGTCCCCTTGCTCCTTTCACCCTCGTCTGAGCTCTTCGCGCCATCCTCTTCCGTCGCGTCCTCTCCATCCTCCTCTTCGCCTTCCTCGTCCTCATCCCCGCCGTCTCCCTCGTTGCCCTTCCTCTCCCAAGCCGGCCGCAGTTCCCCCGTCGGACGGGGGCCGCGCGCGGCCACGCCATGGACCCAGGTCGCAAAGCCGAGGTCGACAAGCGGTTCGCCGAGCTGAAGCAGCAACTGCGGGAAAGGTTCGGCCTGCAAGGGGCTGCCGCGGATGCCGCAGTCGCGGAGCCGACGGAGGACCGCAGTAGCGGAAGCCCCGAGCGACCGCCGCGCGAGGCCTCCCCGCAGTCGTCTAGCTCCTCGCGGGAATATCGGCCGCCGCCGCCGATAAGCGCTGCGAGTGGGAGCTCTGCTGGTGGGAGGCGCGAAGAGGCGCAGTTGCGCAGGGCGCACTTGACCCCCAAGGCAAAATGGGGGCCTCGGGCGCAGACGCCGACGAAGCAGCAGGACCAACCAACAGTGACGGGAGCCGCCACCGAGACCGCAGTTGCGGGGGTGGCCGGCGAGCCAGGTGCCGCGCGCGGCTCATCTGGGAGCAGCGCGCCCTCGGCCGTGCTGCTCGCAGCCGAGTCCAAACGAGGCGCCCAACCCGAAGACGAGGCCGCCTCCCAGGAGAAAGCCGCCGAGACAACCGCCTCGGCCGATTCGCGGCCGAGGAAAAGGCCGCCTCCCACGGAAGACTCGCCGCTGTCAGAACCGCAGTCGCGGGGTCGCGCGGGGCCTCCGTCGGAACCGCAGTTGCGGGAAGATGCGGGAGCACCGCGGAAGAAGCAGCGGACCAGGTCCCCTCCAGGGATAAACTACTTTGGGGAACGCCCCAAGTGGAACGAAGGATTCCTTCGTACAGAAGACGGCAATCGGGTTCCGTCCACCATCGCTTTGGTGTTCAACGTGGTGGTCATCACGAAGGTGGCAACAAAGGAAGATGTCTTCAGGTGCATCTTGCACCAAACTGCGGCGGTCGTCTTCGTCGTATGGGACCCCGAGCTGTTCCGCACGGGGAACGTCGAAGGCGCTTGCAGCTACGACGTTCCCGTTGGACTCAGGACTGCCGTCGAAGACGCTGTCATTTTGAAAAACAACACCGCGGAGCCTTACTGGACGACGGTTGCCCTGTTCAGAGACACGGGCGTGGTGCTCGTGCGCCCGCACATCATCGCAGAGACCGCAGTTGCGGGTCATGTTGTTGGGGCCACCCACGCCGTCACGATCCTGCGCTTTCGCCTGAAGGGCTCCGACATGAATCCTGCCGCGGCGATCCGTTTTGCCGTCGTGTCCAGACACGCAGTCACCGAACGTCTCCAACAGAAGATCACGCAAACAGAACAAACAGCGTGGCAGCCAGGTTTCTTCAAGGACGCGGTTGCTTCCATCCATAAAAATGATGTGCGGTTCTTGTGCGGCCTGTTTGACATCCCGCCTGAGCAGCTCGCAGCATTTGGCCGCAGTTGCGGAGCCAGCTACACCTGCCCGGTGGGGGTGGTGTTCAGGGCTGGACCCGCCCTGTTCGGAGGCATTGTGGAGGGCACACGCGTCATGCATCCGAATTACGTCCTCCCCATTGGCCCGTGCGACGTGCGCATTGCGGACTACAACCGGATTTGCAGGGAGGCCGTCGAAGAACGATCCCCAGTGGCTCCCTGATTGGATGCATCGAACAAGCGACTCCATCATCTCTCGGCGCTGGGTCCCAGCGAAGTACATGCCCAAGTGGGAGGATGACCCTGACCGCAGTAGCGGAGTCAGAGAAAAGCTCGGCTTGGCAGCGCTGCCCCCAATCGGCAAGGTCATTCAGAAGGAGCTCAACGAGAAGACCTTCAGCACGCACTGGTGCGAGGGCATCCACCAAAACATCGTCTTCGTCGGCCACGGACGCGCAAGTCGGGCGAGCAAGCGGAAGCACGAAGAGCCGCGATCTGCCGCAGTTGCGGACGAGCGGTGAGTGCGGCAAGACCGAGGAGCCGCAGTTGCGGAACAGAGCTCGGTACTACTGGGCGCCTGCTGCCTGCGTAGTGCATCCCATTAGCGATGGAGTGCATGTTGCGGTGTAGGATAGCCCGCAGTTGCGGGGTTGCGGTTGCCAAGCCGCAGTTGCGGTTGCGTATAATAGGAGAGCACGCGGTTGCGAAGCCGCAGTTTGCAATAAGTGTGCGCGCGCTGGGTCATCATCATCGTCGTCGTCCGTCCTCGTCGTCGTCGCTGCCGTCGTCGTCGTCGCGTCTGTCGTCTGTCGTCAGCAGTCGTCGTCGGTCGTCGTCGTCGTCAAGTCTGTCGTCTGTCGTCAGCAGTCGTCGTCGTCGTCGTCCCTCCTCCCTCCTCCCTCCTCCCTCCTCCCTCCTCCCTCCTCCCTCCTCGTCCTCCTCCAGGCCGCATCCCCCCGCCACCTCCGTCCTAGCTCTCCTTCCCCTTCCCCTCCTCGTCCTCCTCCAGCTTGCACCCCCCTCCCTCCTCCAGCCTGCACCCCCCCCAAGCTCTCGCCCGATATTTTGGATTAAAACTGAGCCTTCAGTCGTCCGCAGGCATTCGGCTCAGCAGGTCGTTGGGCTCCTGGCACACACGCCTCCACCCTGAGCGACGGACGTCGTGCCATAGTCCGCCATATCGGAGCTCCGGGCCGCAGTGGCGGACAGCGTCGGCACAGATATGAACGACAGCGTCGGCACAGATAATGCCGCAGTGGCGGACAAGAAAGCCGCAGTGGCGGACGAGACAGCCGCAGTTCCAGGCGGAACGCAAGGGATCTTTCAGAGGGCCAACGCCTTGAGGTCTAGATTCAGGACAGGGGACAAGGTGCGCCTCCCTGTGCTCATGCTCGCCCCGCACACGGGCAACCGAGGCGGGCACTACCCTCAGCAGGAAAGGGTTCGGGAACTCGCTGTGAAAATCTTCCTGGCTGGATTCACGCAAGCCGAAGCTGACCACGAAGGTGTCTGCGTTCAGATGTACCCAGCACAAGAGCTGGTGCTGAGAAAAAAGGAGGACCCGAAGTTCCAGACGTACACAGAGTACAATCTGGAAAAAGCGACCGGCCACCTCGCTGCGTGCTTCGACCGCAGTTGCGGAACAGACGTTGCGTATGGGACGTGTTCGCACTCCCACTTGTGCCTCGTGTTGCGGGCGTGCGCCCTGGGAGCCAAGTGGCCCATCCCCCAAGGCATGGAGTTCACGGAGGACGAGAGCGCGAGGCTGAAGCGCGTGCTCGATAAGGACGGCAATCTCGACATGGCCGCAGTGGCGGAACATGACCCTGTCGCTAAGAAACTCGTGCAGGGGGGTATGCTCATGGAAGTGCTTAGCTGGAAAATCATGGACGAGGAACCCACTGGTGCTTCGCTCATCAGCCAGTCCCTCAATAAAGGAGCCGATTTTGCGTTGCGAACGACTGAACTCACCGCGCTCCGTGTTCTGTGCAAGGCTGTTGACGCGGAGCTGCACGCCGCAGTTGCGGATCAGGTTGCCTTTGAAAAGGTCAAGCTCTCCGTCATGCACGAACTCGATCGAGTCGTTCAGGACCCAGACTTCATTGAGCTGTTCTCGTTCGTTGTTGGGCTCGGGAGCACGAAAGCGCAGTTCATCCCCTTGCTGCTCCAGTTCTGCGAGGTCTACGTGAACTCCAGGAGAAGGGCCCTTCGGCTCGGTGCCTTCGGGGCAGCCAGCGAGCTTCCCGACGAAGTGCCGTGGGTCAAGGTTGCCGTGGTGATGCGATGCTACAGGAACGCGCCTGCGAGGAAGAGGGGCGTTGACACTCCTGTGTGGTGCCCTGACCCAGAACAATCGTGGAAGAAGAAGGAGTTCCGAGACTTCCTCATCGACATGAACTCGGCTCTCCGTTTGTACTTGTTCACGCTGAGCAAGGCCATCGACGGCATGGGCCCTGAGAAGGCGATCGAGTTCAAGGCGAACCTGTGCATACTGACCGCAGACGGCTTCATGCAGTACCTGAAGGACACCCACGTCAAGGAACGAAGTATCCCAGGACATCGTCAGGCGCTCCTCCGCGCTTGCGCGGAGGCCACGGGGAAGGTGGAGCCGAAGTCCAATCGGGACGCCCTTGAGAAGGCCCTCGGCGAAGTGGGAGTCGGAGGCGGGAAGCCCGATTGGTTCGATTTCAACGCGTTGCCGCGCCCAGAACCGAATGAGCCCGCAGTGGCGGGGAAGACAAAGGCTTCCGCAGAGGAGCACGAGTTGATGCCGACGGTCATTTCCTTTGACCCCACGACGCAATTACCAACGAACCACCAGCGCAGCAGGGACACGACGGCCATTCCACGCGGATCCTTCCCTTTGCCAATCGCCGAATGGAGGCGTTCAGCGGCAGCGAAGGAGCTGGGGCGGGAGCCTGCTTTGGTCAGCGCAGTGTTGCTGTGCCTTTGGGCGCGCCACATGTCCGCAGTTGCGGAAGCGCAAGTAGAGGTGTTGCAAGACGCTGACACAGAGAAACGCACCGTCAAGGCAACCGCTGCAAACGACGAAAAATGCATCGAGTTGTGGCCGTGCGTCCCAAAGGCATCCAAGGTGCACGCCGCAAGCACGCACCCCGAGAGGGTGGCCGTGCAAGTCTGGGTGAAAGGAGATCCAAATGGGGCCACGCCCACGACCTTCTACTTGCACCCCGAGTTCAAGCCGCCTGCGGACAAGACGCCCGCCGACGTGGCTGACCACGATGTGCGGTTGAGAGCATGGAAGTGGGATGCGCAAGAGACAATGCACGTCTTCTGGGCAGTCAACAGAGTCACGGAACAGGAGATCCAGCAGAGAAACAGCCGTAATGAAAGCGCAGTTGCGCGCATCAACATGGAGCTGGAGACGAAAGAATTGGCGGTGTGCGTGCCTGGGACAGGCGGGGTCGTGCTCGCCGTGAATGTCCCTGTGCTGGTGAATACCACGGCCGTGAAGAAAGGAGAAGAGCTCCTGTGGGAGGCGAGACCCAAAACCGCACCGAAGAAGAAGGCGGCCGAGGAGACGTGGAAGACGGACGCGGCCAAGAGGGCCAAAGGGAAGCCTTCGGGCCAGCCCGCGCCGAAGAAATCGAAGAAAGGGTTCGACGAAAGCGGGAAGATGTCGCTCTAATTAAGAAGCCGCAGTGGCGGCAGTCAGGGCGGCTTGCTCGCGTGACCGCAGTTGCGGGCAACAGGCCGAAGGGGGGGGCGCACGCGTGACCGCTGTTGCGGAGCGCTCGTGTAGTTTGCAGTGTCACTGCTTCTGTTAGCTGATGCCGCAGTAGCGGGCCGCTGACGATCGAGCACGGAGGTTCGAAACGGACCTCCTCCCTCCCTTCTCCCTCTCCTCCCTCGCCCTTCCTCCACTTCCTCCCTCTCTCCTCCTCCTTTCTCCCCTTCCTCCCAAGTTGGAAGCCGAAACTACTCATTTCCTCACTCCCTCCCTCCCTCCCTGGAGGCCCTGGAGGGCCTCCGCCCTGGAGGGCCTGGAGGGCCCTGGAGGCCCTGGAGGGCCTCCCTGGAGGCCCTGGAGGCCCTGGAGGGCCTCCCTGGAGGCCCTGGAGGGCCTGGAGGGCCCTGGGCTGAGGGCGGAGGCCCTGGAGGGCCTCCGCCCTCAGAATGCTTCAAAGCAGTGCCGCGGCACTGCTTTGAAGCATCTGATGCTTCAAAGCAGTGCCCCGGCACTGCTTTGAAGCATTCTGAGGGCGGAGGCCCTCCAGGGAGGCGCGAGGATCGCAGGGACCGAGGGAGGCCCTCCAGGGAGGCGTTCAGCTCGCCATCTGGCTCAACCGCGCGCGGCCCCACTGCCCGCACCCCCGCCTTGCCCGCAGTTGCGGCTGTGTCCAGCGCAGTAGCACACATGCCGACTTCGAGCGAATGGAGCCCTGTGTGCGTTGAGAAGGTCTTGTGCATCCGTGGAGGTTGGCTTGCGCAGACCACCCCCGTCCCCGAAAAGGATGTCAAGGTGCTCCACGCATGGCCCCTCGGAGAGATAACTTTCGTGCACGTGAACATGCAAAAGGCTTGGCTGCTCAAGGTGTGCGCCAAAGGTAAACCGACCGCAGGGGCCTTGAAGGCCTCCAAGGCCTGGGACGCGCTGAAGAAAGAAGTCGCGAAGCAGGGCGGCGCCGCAGTTGCGGACGATGAGAGCGACGGCGACGCGGGGGACGAAGCAGATGACCCCATGTCGGCCCTGGTCAGCTCCACGGACGCCACGAAGAAGCAGGCAGCGACCCCGACCAGCGCCAAGAAGCAGAAGACTGGAACGCGTGCGGCGGCTACTGGCCTGCCCAGGGGCGAGGCCGTGGAGTCGGCCATAGCCACTGTGCACTCTGTACAGATGCCCGCAAAGAGCCCCATGAAGTTTCCGCACGACACGGCCGTTCGAAACGTGCGGGTGGCCAGCTTCAAGCGGAGGACGTTGTGGCTGGACGCTGCAGACCTTGGGTGGCTGATCGACATGATCGTGGACGACGTGAGCCTCGGCGGTGTCCCCGACATCGGCGACGGCGACAAGGACGAGGCCGCAGTGGCGGACAGGGACTGGGCAACGGCGGTTGACCCTGCCACCCCGCTGGCGAAGCAAAAGGAGGTCGACCCCCCGTGGCGCAGGGGAGCGGCTCTGGCTTCACCGTCGTTTGGGACTTCAAGGGCGCTTGGGTCGCGACCATCACGCGAGAGTGTGCCAACAAGGGCAAAAGGATCGAGATGGATGTGAAGAAACTTACAAAGAAGAAGTGGCAGTCGGCGCAGTCGGTGAAGGGCTACGACTACGAGTGGGAGGGCATGACGCAGCACCAGCGCAAGCAAGCGGCTCTGGATTACCTCGAGCTCCAAATCCCCAGTCTGTTCGACTGAGGCCCGAAGCCGTATGGGCCGCAGTTGCGGTGGGGCTACTGAGTGCCCGCAGTTGCGGGGTGGCTGGGTGCGCGTGAACACGCGGAGGGCGAGGCGGTGTGAGGAGGCAGGCGGAAGGTTTAGGGTGTTCCACGGGTGCACGCCTTAGTGCGCCAACTTGTGTGGGCGAGCGTTTTTCTTAGAGAAGCATGGAGTGAAGCATCGAAACCCTGTGCGCGCGATGATTGGGGCTTCCGCGCGGGCGTTGTTGAAAAGTACCTCCTTCTTCGCCCCTCCGCATCGTCTTCAGTTGCTCCTCCCTCCTCCCCTCCCTCTTCCTAGTTCTGTAGCCCGCAGCCGAGTGCCCGGCCCGAGTCGTTCGCCACGCGACCGCTCATGGATGTTCCCGTGGGGCGGACATGGTATGGCGAGGAGGACGGAACGCATTTCGAGGTGGAGTGGCTCCATTACGACAGCGGCTGCGCACCGAGGAAAACGAAGTATGGCACCACTGGGCTCGCCAACATCTTGGGCCGCAGTAGCGGCGTTCCGTGCCCCAAGAAGATAAAGGTGCACGCATGTGCGGATTTTCCGTGCCTAGCGAAGTGGCCCGCGTCGCAGTACGGCCTTGTTGAGCCGCCTCGCTTTCATTTGCGGCCGTCTGCTTGGCGACCGGGCGCGACGCCACCCCCCGCAGTTGCGGCTCCAGGCGGCACCGCAGTTGCGGCTCCCTCGGCCCCTGCACACATAGCACCAGCAACACCAGCAGAACTCGCAGCTCCTGCGCAAGAAGGACACGCAGCTCCAGCACCAGAAGCACCCGCAGAACCCAAACCTCCAGCAGCCCCTGTGCCCGAAGCACCCGCAGCAGCAGTCCCTCCAGCTCCTCCAGCTCAAGTGCACGCAACACCAGACCCGCCTGCTGCGCAGGAGACCGCGATTGCGGTTGAAGCTCCTGAGGGAGTGGAAGCGGACAAAGACACACCACTTCCAGCACGCTTGCCACCAGCGCGGCCGCTGCCAGAGAACTGGTCGAAGACGCAGGTCGCATTCTTCCCGTGCCCAGACCCAAAGGCTGCAGCACGAGTTGCGGCGCCTGTTGGCGACGCCTTGCGGCCACGAGTCGCGGCGCCACCCCTGGCGCCAGAGAAAGGTGTACCTGTGGAAGACGCGCCAAAGATCCAGGCCGCAGTGGCGGCGACGGTGCCTGACGTCGTGATGGCTCTCCTGAGGCAGATTCTGTCCGAGAATTCCTACATAGGGTATTCAGCTTTCATGCTGTTTGCCTTGCGGTTCGGGCGTCGACCTTACGTGTGGGAAGGCGAGAACCGCAAGGACCTCCTTGACTTCTACATGCCTTGGGCAAAGGAGAAGTGCACTGAGCCATGCGCCGTCGACGGCGTGGCGTGCGTACTCGCCGCTGCTGAGGATCTGTTCGGGGAATGGACAACGGTGGAACTCAGGCCCGTGACTCCCGAGAACCCTCTCCATGAGGTGCGCCACTGGGTGGCCGCAGTTGCGGTGGGTGGCGTGTGCTCTGAGGGGGCGGACGCGTTGAACAGGTTCTACGGTCCTCTGGGACAATGGGTCCTAGGGACTGTTTGCGATGGAAACTGCGGCATTGACCTTATGGCGATGATGTTGCAGAAACCGCAAAATGCCGAGACGCGCAAATGGCTTCGGGAGGAACTGTACGATTTCGGGGTGCGCCGCTGGGACGAACCGTGGTTGCACGACATGCTCGTTGTCACGCAGGAACTAACCTTGGAGGAGGTGCGGGCGTACCGCAGTTGCGGGGCCAGCGGCCCTGCTGGACCCATGGTCCTGCACGACTCCGAGGGCGAGGGCGAACCAGCAGAGGCGCCGAGAGAGGCGAGCGCGCCACGCCCCGCTCTCATGGCGGCGTTAGAGTGGCAGACGGGCGTGCAGGACATGGGTATATTGCTTGCCATGGCTGAGGCTATGCCCGAGGCGTTGCAGGAGGAGCAGATCAGGGCGCACGCACTGGCCAGCGCACGCCCAAAACCCGAAGTTGCGGAACAGAAGCGGCGCGTGTGCCCGCACATGCTCAGAGACCGCGAACTGGTTTGCAAAGAACTGGAGGCGCACGCACGCAGTTGTGGTTGGATGGGCGAGGGCGTTCTGCCACGGAATTCAATCGCGTCTTTTTGCGGGCGGTTCACGTGGCCGAAGGGCATGGGGGTCGTCCAGCAGCGCCAGGCCGTCTCCAAGTGGTTTCAAAACTGGCGCACACAAGGTGGACATGGCACGGCGGGCGTGCATGGCCGACGCCGCGCGCGGGGCAACCAAGGGCGCCCGAACAAGGCTCCATGGCTGGAAGCCGCTCTGTACGAGTGGTGGTCCCACATGAGGTACTCCGTGGACTGGAAGGCGGTGGCCAAGCGAACCGCAGTTGCGGAGGAGAGGCCCAAGATGTTGGCCAGGTTCTCCCAATCCCTGCTGGTTACGAAGGCGAAGCAACTCGTCGCGGACTACTGCGTGGAGACAATGAAGCGGGGAGGCAAACCGATGGTGCCGCAGTTGCGGCCTCGGTGGTGGGTGAAGTGGCGGCGCTCCTACGGCCTGAGCATGAAGAAGCCGAACCGCAAGTACAAGGTGCCAAAATGGTTGCTCCAATCTCGTTTTGAGACTATGATCTTGAACGTGGCCAGGGTCCGCGCAGCTGCAGAGGAGCTTCTGGGGTACGACCCGCACATCCTGAACTGGGACCAGTCGCCCTTTCACCACAACGAGTCGTCGTCGGCCTCGAAGCCGACCTTGGCTGTGAAGGGTGGCATTGTCCCGCTTGTCGAGGCGCATGACGACAGCAGGGCTCGGTGGACAGCGAACCTGACGGTGTCGAGCGACGCGGAGGACATCCGCAGTTGCGGACCACCGCCGGCGGAGCTAATGTTCAAGGGGGGATCTGTCATCGCTGAGGGCTTGGCCGCACATGCCCGCAGTCGCGGCTATCCGTCTTGGGTGAGCACGGCGACGTCCGAGAAGGGGTCCTACCGCGCAGACGACGTTGTATCATTCTTGCAGCGGCACTTGCGGGCCTGGCCCGACGACCCGCAGTTGCGGGGAAAGTGGCGCATCCTCATGGCCGACGACCATTCCCCGCACAAAGCAGACGCTGTGCGGAGACTCGCCTGGCAGCGCGGCTACGTGCTGATCATTCACGGCGGGGGGGCGACCGCAGTTGCGCAGCCCGTGGACACGGACTTGAACCAGCACGTGAAGCGCCGGTACATTGCCCTCGAGACCAAAGCGCTGGTGCAGCAAATGGCGTTGGGGAAGCACGTGCCGCAGTTGCGGCGTTCCGATTGCGCCGACTTGATGCTGTCAGTGTTGGAGAATGTGCACTTGCACTTGGACGCCGCGAAAGGTTTCCTGAAAGTGGGAATTCGAGCGCCCTTCGACAAGTCAGGAGATCTCGAGATTTGCCGAGAGGCGGCGGAACTCTGGGAAGCAGGGGGGCTGCGAGCAAAAGTGGACACCGCAGTCGCGGAGGTGAGGGAAGAATGCGAGCAGAAACGTTTGAAATGGTCCTACAATGACGTGCTGCGTCTCATACACGAATACGAGAAACACGACGCCACAGATTCCGTGTTGGAGAAGCTCGGCGACGAAGCGCTAGGCCAGGAGCCAGGCCACGAGGAGGGCGATGAGGAGGGCGGGGAGGAGGAGGAGGAGGAGGTGCACGAGGAGCACGAGGAGGACGAAGAGCAAGAGGAGGCCTCGTGGGCCGAGGCTCTTGCGGAACAGTGCGATGCCGCAGTTGCGGCACCTGGGCCTCAAGGATCCTCGGTATCCATGGACTGCGTGGTCGACGCAGAGGCGGCCGAGCAGGTGGCAGTGGCGACGTCCTTGGCAGAAACGCTCCGCGAGGCGGAAGATATGCTGCGCCAAGTGGGCATGGAGAAACTAGCGCAGGATTGCCGACAGCAACGACACAAACAAAAGAAGCGGTTGAGAGAGCTGGCGCGGGAGGACAACGAGGTCCTACGAGCGTTGACTGCCCAGCGAGACCACGAAGCCGCAGTGGTGGCGAAAAAGCGGCGCCTGGCTCTGGAAGCGAACGACAGGACGAAGGCGTTGCACGATCTCAAGAAGCAGATTCGAGAGGCCGAGGCCGCCTTGAGGGCAAAGAAGGAGGCCGCAGTTGCGGTGGAAACGGCTTTGGCTAACAAACACGCCCTAGCGCAGTGGAATCCCGAGGAGTTCAAGATCAAGAAAAACAGGATGGCAGCTCTGGATCGCCTGGCTCGCGGAAAAGGCGTCCTCTCAGACGAGCAGAGGGGGGAGTGGGCATGGTTCAAGACGCATTGGGACGAGGAGATGTGCAAGCAGCACAAGGAGCAATGGCCGCTCACGTTTGCTGGGTGGCTGCAAAAAGTCGCGAACGACGCGGCGTCTGGGAACCGTTCGGCGCTGTCGCAGTTCGTGCATTCGGAAACAGTGAGAACCCTGGGAGGGCAAATGGCGCTGGTAATCCCAGCCCTAGCGTGATGCAGGCCGCAGTTGCGGACCCACAGGAAGTCCAGAGGGAAGTTGTTTTTCCAAGCGGCTCCCGCGCGGGCAGGAGATGAGGCAAAACCGCAGTTGCGGTCTTCCTGCTGCTGTGAAAATAATCCTTTCACAGTCCCTTGCAATCGTCGCCCTCCTTCTGCTTCTCCGCCAGTCCATTTGTTGTTCTTTCGGTTCCTTTGAGTCCTCGCCCTCCTTCTGCCACTCCTCGAATCCTCTTTGTCTCCTCCCTCCATCCGACCCCATGCCCATTCACGATCCATTTCCGTAGCCACCGTGGCTCGAGGTGGCGCACGCGAAGACGCAAGCATGTGGCCGCCCGCGCGCCCGAGCGCATCCTCAGGGAGTATGGACCGTGGACCTCGATTCGCCAGAACGGTGTTCATCCACAACGCTGAGGAGGAGGAGGGAGGCAAAGACGAGGAAGCCGCAGTTGCGGATGATGACGACGACCAGCGGACGCAAGATGGCGACAGCACCGTCGCGTCCTCGGCTGCCTCCGCTGACGAGGCTGAGTCCCGGGGAGGTGCGGGAGCCGCAGTTGCGGCAGCACATGACTCCTACATGCCGAGAGTGTTGTCGTCGCGGAGACCTGGAAACGGGTGCCCATCATCGAGACAAGCAATCTGTCGGAAAAACAAAGAGCTCTTGTCGACGCATGGGAGGAGAAAACGGAGTTCGAAGCGGGACGGGTCGGCTTCTACGTGGCCAACTTCGGAGGGACTGCAGCTAGACCCACGCAACGCGCGGACGAGTGGGCGCAGCTCCGCGCGAACCCTGCCCAGATCATCGCCCTCTGCGAGTGCGACGACGAGACCTGCGCGGTACTCAGTGGGGAGCACGACGCGAGGGACAGTGCAGCCGCAGTTGCGGACGATAGGTTTCGGAGTCGGACTCAATACAACTACCTGTGCGTTAAGGGCGGCGAGCCATCAGGGACCCTCCTTGTTGGCATGAGGGACCGCAGTGGCGGCCACATTGAACACGTAGACTTTGCGAGACTCTTCCACAAGCAGGAGAAGTCCAAAACGAAGAAGAAGAAGAAACCGTCCGCAGTTGCGGAGGCTCCTGCGCCAAAGCTGCACAACAAGTACTCCAGGGCGATGGTGGTGCGCGTCCACCTGGACCAGGCCGTGACCCATTTGGGGGGCTCCTTCAACGTCATGGCGGTGCACGTCCACCACAGCTTGGCCAACCAAGACTGGGGCGTCACGAAGCTCCATGAGTTCTACAACTGGTTCGTCGCCTACGTCAGGGAATGGGACGTGAAGGTCTGCATGGGGGACTTCAACATGTGCATGTTCCAGCTTGTGTCCTGGTGCCGCAATTGCGGCCTGACTGTGGACGTCGCCGCGTGGACCCCCTGGAAGACAGCAGGCGGCCAGCCCAGGGCAGACAGCATGGCGATTTTGTTCATAAACTGTCCTGGGCAGTACAAGCTTCACCATGGCCTGAGTGTTCTGCACGACCGTGAGGGCGGATTCTTGACGACCCAGCATGATCCGTCTTTCCCTGTCTTCGACTACACGAATGGCCCTGGGAAGATGCTTCAGACTTACGTGCCCAAGGCTGAGCCCGTTGAAAACAAGATGCGCGCCTTCCTGACGCCATCTGGCGAATCCTTGACCGCAGTTGCGGAGTTCGAGCAAAGGATGGCGCGCAGGGAACGCGACGATTGGGTGCGCCATCCCTTCAGAGTGAAGCAGGGCAACCTCGACGACAAGATATGGCATGGCGCCTTCGGCAGGGCGAGGCACGGAGCGCACTTCCCTCTGGTGGCTTTCACGCACAATACGTGCCGCAGGTCACCTGAAAGACTCGCCGCGAGGTTGGAACGCAGGAAGGGCGGCAGGAAGGGCGGCAAGAAGGGCGGCAAGAAGGGCAGCTACGCGGACACCGCAGTTGCGGGGAAGGGCGTCCGACCCCAGATGGGAACCGCAGTTGCGGGGAGAGACGCTGGGGCTGAGCGAGCTGGGAACACGCCACCGCCGCAAGCTGCCAACGGCGACGATGCGACCCCTTCTTGTGCCGCAGTGGCGGCTGGGTCCTGGGACGCCAGCGGCAGCGGCGCATGGGAGGCGCGCAGTCCCGCCACGAGATGGCAGGGCTGGTCCTGGTGGGACTGGAGCTCGAGCGAATGGGGCGCTGATGGCGCGCAGTGGTGGCCCTCTGATCATGCCGCAGTTGCGGACAATGCCCCTGAGGGCTCGCCTCCTCAGCGTGAAGTCGAGTGGGGCTCGAGCGGGCGACCTGCCGAGCGCCCTCCGCGGAGCTTCGAGGGGCAGCGTTGGTGATGGCCGCAGTTGCGGGCAAGTGGAGCATGATGTTGATTGCCGCAGTTGCGGACAGTGTACGCTGGAAAAATCATCATCATCATCAATCATAATCATCATCATATCATCATATCATACGTTCAAAGCAGTGCCGGGGCACTGCTTTGAACGCGTTCAAAGCAGTGCCGGGGCACTGCTTTCGATCGTCGCCTCGTCGCCGTTATAAGGGCTTTCGGATTACGGGTGCCTGCTGCTCGTCCGCCACGACCTCGAGCCCACGTTCGGCGCCCGGCCGCTGCCCTCGCGCATGGGCCGAGCCCTGCTGTGGGTGCGCTGTGGAGGCAGGTGCCCAGGCCTGGTGGTCGCCACCACGCACCTGGAGTCGCTGAGCAGCGCGCCCTGGCGGCGCCAGCAGCTGGAGGAGGCCTCGCGATGCCTGCGGGAGTACGAGGGCGCCGTCCTCTGTGGCGACTTCAACTTCGACGACGAGAAGACGTGGGGCGATTGGCGCCGGCCCGAGCCCGCGCTCGGGCCAGGCGAGCTGGAGAACTGCGTTCTGGGCGAGCTGCTGCCGGACTTTGCCGACACCTGGCGCGAGGTGCACCCAGAGGATCGCGGGTACACGTTCGACGGCGAGGAGAACCCCGTTTGCTGCCGAGATCGGGGCGAGCGGATGCGGTACGACCGGCTGCTGGCGCGGCGGGGGCCAGGCGGATGGGTGCCCCTGGCGGCGGAGCTGCTCGGGAGGGGCGCCATCGACAGCTCTGGCATGCGGCCCTCGGATCACTACGGGCTCCTGGTGGACCTTGGGCGCGATGACGGCTGCGCCGACGGCACGCCTCTCGTCGTGGGGCCGCCGCGCCAGGAGCCAGACGAGCCAGCGTGAGGGCCCCGCGGGCAGTCGATCTGCTGGCCACCGCTTGTATCAAGTCGGGCGTGTCCCTCTACAGGAGGAATATCTAGAAGTAGTCCAGAAATAGTCTGAGGACGATGTGTGTCGTATTGTTTGGCCATTTTTGAGTGTTTTGCGTATGTTTTATTTGTCGTCCACAATTCCCCTGTAGGGGGATACGCCCCACTTAACGCTTGTACCTTGTGCCTCGCGTTCCCCCGTCGATCGCCTCAGGCTTCTGGGGGCCGGCGCTGTACAGTGCGCCGTGCGGCGGAGGTTGGCCTCCGCCTGTCGAACGACAGTTTGCCAGCGTGGGCCACAAGCAGCATGCTCTTGCACTGTGGATGTGTGACTAAGCTATGTGGTGCACGCCACGGGGTGCGCGCTAGGTGGTACAAGCTATCTGGTGAAAGCCATGCGGTGCAAGCTACGTCTTGTAGCTAAGCAGTGATCTTGCACGGGCTGTCAACTCCACTGTTGGCACAGTCGTCCCACCCTCCCGCTCGCAGCTTGTTTTGCACAACCCATCTGCCCATGCGGCCGCGATTGCGGTGACTCCTTGTCACTGGCTGGCGCATTTCTGCGGCTGCGCTAGCGCGCGAAAGCTCTTGCGCAGAGCGGCCGGCTGGCTTGGCACAACCGATGCGGCCGCGATGGCGCTAATCGATGGCATCTTCCCATTGCATCTCATGGGTCGCCCTGGCGCGCGGGCACTTCACATGGGATCTTTGACTCGGGCGGGCGCAGTATCATGATGACGTCGACGACGACGGCAACGGTGATGATAGTAGCGTTGGTGGTGGCGATAATGACGATGACGATGGCAAGACCTTTGGCGGCGCTGATGATGGTGGCGACGATGACAATGATGATTCCCATGTCTCAGTGATGAAGGTGCTTGAATGATGTTGGAGGCAGTGGCGGTGATGATCGTTAACGATGACGTGATGCTACGGCGCTGGTGAAGGTGATGGTGAGGAAGCGCGCGCCTCGGAAGTGCAAGAAACCTGGTAGACCTGTTGATGACAACCGTTTTGGATTCAATCAGCGGATCGCTCTCGGGGGGAAGCAGTGGATTCAAATTTGGGAAGCAGCCGCTAGGCCTCCTGGGAGCCTCTTGGGGCCCTCTTGGAGCCTCTTAGAGGCCTCTTGGAGCCTTTTGGGGGCGTCTCGGGGCCGAAGGCTCGACATGTCCGTTCGGGGCCATCTTGGGGTCACAACGGGTCGTGGGGTACTTTCTTGAGGGGTACGATTCCCAATATGCCCCCAACATCTTCTGCGAAGCCTCCAGGACGCGTGCAAGGGGCTCCTAGAGGCTCCCGAGAGACCTCGAAAACGCCTCCCCAGATTTCCCACGGGACCCCAAAGAGGCCCGCTCCCTAAATGTTTCCAGGAGGCGCCCAGGGGGCCTCCCAATTAGGCCCCGTCTACGTCTCACGTCTAAATTTTGGATGGCATGTCCACATAGGCTTTCACAGGTCCCCAACTCACGATCCACTTCTGGGCTCCAAGAGGCCATCGATAAACACGCCGCGAGGCCCCGAAATGCACCCACGACGCCCCGACTTCACGATCCAGGTCAGGGGTGTGCCGGCATGGGCGGCGCGGCGGGATGCGAACCTTGGCTCTGGGGTTGCCGGTGGAGCTCCTTGTGGGGTACGATCCGTGTGAGGAGTCAGTCGTCAACATACAGGGGGGCGTGACGCTATGTGACTCTTGCTTCGCGTTTCGGCCCGTCTTGCCTCACCTCGAGGCTGTGGCTGTGACGAAATCAATGCATTGCTCACGTGCCTTCTGGACACACTGTGTCTTCTTCTTCTTCTCCTATTGTGAAACTAGATCCTTCTGGGGCACGGTCCGTGGAGAGGGGATGCCGAGAGGGGGTCGGGGAGGAAGGGAAGAGCCGTTGTATCACTTGCGCGCAAAAAAGGGTGCGGTCCAGTGTTCGAGCTTCCCCGATGCCGCGACTTACGTCTCCCCGGTCGGTGTCTCCGTCATCGCTCGGCGCATGATGTCTCGTCGACCGGTCCGCCCGCTGCTGAGATTATATCGGCCGACCCACCCCAGCCGCTGGCCCAGAAGCAACGCCTGGCGTGCAGCTGGAGCGTGCGCGGGAGGAAGGATGAGGAGGGAGGGTGAGGAGGAGGAGGAGGAGGAGGAGGAGGAGGAGGAGGAGGAGGAGAGAGGAGGACGATGTGCAGGAGGAGGAGGAGGGAGGGGGAGGAGGGATGAGGAGCCGCGGACAGGAGGAGCAGGAGGGAAGAGGCGGATGGATTGATGACGGAGGAATGGTGGAGAGGTGTAGTAGAGCAGCAGAGGAGGAGGAGGACGAGGCGGAGGAGGAGGAAAAGGAAAAGGAGAAGAAGGAGGATCGGCCCTATGTTCGCGCAGCGTCAAAAGAGGAGGAGGAGGAGGAGGAACAGGAGGAGGAGGAGAGGAGGAGGAGGAGGAGGAGGAGGAGGGACGACCAGGGGGACCCCCCCCGCCCCCCCCCGGCAGGAGCGCTGCTCGGCCGACCTGGCGAGCCGGCGGCCCGAGGCGGTGGAGCGGCTCTCGGGCGCCGCCGCCCCGGCCCTGCGTCGTGGCCGTCCGCCGCCGCCGCCACCGCCGTGGTCTCTCCCGCTCTCTCTCTCGGGGGCGGCCGAGGGGGGGGGGGGATGGCGGAGGGGGGAGGGGGTGGATCTCACGGCGGGCAGCTCTCTCTCTCGGGGGCGGCCGAGGGGGAGGGGGGGGGCTGATGGCGGAGGGGGGAGGGGGGGGATCTCACGGCGGGGCGTCTCCTCCTGTCAAGACGTCTTCTCCGCCCCCCCCCCCCCCTGGGCCGCGTGCGTGCCGCCGGCCATGATTTGCACTCCCCCCTCTTGGACGCTCCCATCTTGGACGCCTCCGATCTCTCGGTCTCTCTCTCTCTCTCTCTCTCTCTATCTCTCAGGCAGTGGCGATGCGGCCTGGCTCGCCTATAGGCCCACCAAAGAATGTTCTAAGAACCTTGTGTGGTTTCCACGACATGTTCTCAGAGCATGTATGGCTGGGGCTCTTGTTTTATCACATCGGGTCTGTATTATATTTGTTTCTTGTTATTCTGATATTTCTGGATTCTGAGACCATGTCGTGGTAGGCCTACAGAGATGCCGGGATGGTCGGTCCCTGCTCAATTCTCTCGGTCTCTCTCTCTCTCTCTCTCTCTCTCTCCGGAGCGAGCGTCGGTCCTAACAATCGCCAGGCAGCGAGCGACTAGTGGTCGGAGCGTTCAGCGGAGTGCCAGATGCACTCCAGTTTTCTCTCTCTCTCTCTCGCGCGCAGTCTCTCTCTCTCTCTCTCTTTCTCTCTCTTTCTCTTTTTCTCTAATGATCTGCGACCAATTTCGAACCCTACCCCTGCGGGTCCACACGGCGCTGGGCCATGAAACGCCCCCTCTGGGATTCATTTGGCGGGAGGCACCCTTCGGCTCCAGAGCCTAAGCTGGTGTTTCAGAAATCTGACCTGCAGGGGGAAATTTCACATGTGACTGCCTATGGGATCAAAGGTAGCGCCACGAGGGGAGAGGCTCCGCGGGGAACGCGTGCACCCCCGATCGTCCAACGATGGCCGATGCGGGCCCGATAGCCCGCCCGGCCCACGAATCCCCACCCGAGTACGCGAGGCGGGCACCCCGGGGAGCACCAGGCCCCCCCTATCGGGCCCGGCGCCCGCGGTGTGCAGCACTCGTTCCTCGAAGACGCGGGGCGGGATGCCCAGAGAGCACCGGGGCCCCCTGGCGCCTGGCGGTCACGGTGTGCAGGGCGTGCGGGGCGGGTCGGCGCTCGATCCTTCTGGGGTGCTCCTGCGCGGCCCCAGCCCTGCGGGGGTGGGGAGCAGCTCGGGCCCCTGCGGGTGGTGTTGCCCAGGATCGAAGGTCCAAGGCGCGGCACGTCCAGGGACCTTGCCGGGCCCTCGGGGGCATGCCGTCCCAGCCTCCCAGCGCCCACGTCTCCTCGCTCCCCCTCGCTCTTCCCACGCCCCCCCGCTTGCCTCGGCTCGCTCTCGATCGCCCTTTGCCGCGTGGCGGCGCAGCTGTCACGCGCCCACTGCCCACCCATCGTCGTCGCCGTCTCCATCGCTCGATGCCACGTCCCTTCCTTCCCTTCCTCTCTGCCCTTCCCCTTCTCACCCCCTGCCCCATCTGTCCTCCCATCTATTCCCGATCCTCTCATGTCGCACGCCCCTCCTTCTCCTCCTCCTCCTCCTCCTCCTCCTCCTCCTCCTCCTCCTCATCATCATCATCATCATCATCATCATCATCATCATCATCCTGCTCATCCTCATCCCCATCCTCCCCCTCCCCCTCCTCCTCCCCCTCCTCCTCCTCCTCCATCCCTCGCTTCAATTCCCCCTTCACTCGCCGCCCAGCCCTCCCCTTTACTTCCCCTCCCGTGGCGCGCGCAGGTGCCCGTCGTCCTCCCTGACACGTCGATTCGTGAATTGTCCATGTTCGGTTCTCGAGGGGGCGCCGCGGTCGTCATTTCTCTGGCCTGTGCCCGCCAGGTTTGGGCCCGAGGTCGGTTTCGCTAAACCGCGTTTTGCTATAGGGGGTTCTGTCCATCCCCGAAGGTCCTTCGGAGCTTCCTCGAAGCTCTTCGGAAGCTCGCTTCTGGGAGCTGGCAAGCTCCCCGGGCATGCTCTCCAGCGCCCTGGCCAGCGTCTCCCAGGAGGTCTTTCCAACCTTGCGAGATCCCTAGGGAAGCTGCCCGGTGCCCTCGATCCTCAGAAGGCGGCGCGGCTGCTGAGAAGCCCTCTGGCCCTCTTTGAGAAGCCCTCCGCGGCTGCGGAGAGGAGGTTTCGAAAGTCTCGGAGGACAGGAGACCTTTTTGGCCTTCCGAGAAGACCCGCCCCTTATGCCTCCCCCCCGACGCGCCGCCAGCCTTGAGTCGGGCCTGTCCCTCTACAGGAGGGGTATTCAAACATAGCAAAAAATAGTCAGGGGACGATTTTTTAATTATTGATTGAGCATTACGGGAATATGTTCTGCGTCTTTTTAATTTTTCGCCGAACATCCCCCTGTAGGGGGACAGGCCCGACCTAACGCCAGTCTCATGGCGCCATCATCGCAGAGCGGATCTCGTTCGGAAAACAATCGGATGGGCCCAGAGTGTCCTGGAGAATTTCGTCCCCGATTTCGAAGTGAATTCTGTGCGGATTTTCGTTTTGCCTGGAATGAAGATTGAAAATAACCCACGTGAAAATCACTTCGTTTTTCGCTCCCCGCTTCTGGGTTTGCATGGACAGGAATCCACGCCCAAAACAACCGCTGCAGCACGTCTGCAAGCCAGACTGGACACAGCCCCTCCCCTTCGGCCTGGGCGTCTCCCACACATCCAACGATACCCAGCGTCTCTATCATTTCGAGGCTCGTACCCCCGACCTCTCGACCACTTCCCCGGGACCGGTGTTCCACTCCGAGACCATTCCGTGGGGTATAAGCCTGGGAGAGGCCCGGGAGACAGGCGTCCCCGAGGGCGGGCAAGTTTCTTGTGCAATTGCAATCGGACCGCACGACAAGAAGCACCCATAAGCACCCATAAGCACCCTACAGTCAACCCGCATAGTAAGGATGGGCGACCTTCCCAAGGGTACCCTTGTGTCCTTGCCTCCTCGGTCCATCCTTGGCCACTTTCGTTGGCCGCGCCCCGCGCGAAAAGCTTCGACATGGGCTTCCAAGGCCCTTGCATCCTTATCGCGCATCCTTACTATACTGGTTGACTGTATCTTACGTCAGGGTGCCCTTGGTGGGTTTCTTTGGCCTGCGCTCGACGTGGAAAGTTGTAGCACTCGCGCAGAAGCTGCAGATGGTGGGGCGCCCTGGGTTTCTCTTCGGGTCGGTGCGCTGGGCTTCTTGATGTCAGATTGCCCCACGCAAGCGATCAATCATCCACTCTCTCTGCAGGGTACCCTGGGTTTCTTCGTTTGCAGCCGAAGGGCAAGAAACCCAACCCTGGACCGAGAAACCTCGGCGGATTGCATGGTTGAGTCTCTTGCGGCGGCGTCTTGTGCATTGGTATCCTCTTTACACTTGGTCGCATCAAATGGGAGGCTGGCTTGCCAATCGAAGCCCCACGATCACTAATTTCTCCCTACAGGCCTGCAGAGCCCTGGGTGGCCTTGCGAAGCTCATGGTCGACGAAGGACGATGGATACCCCCCTAGATGCCTTATAGCAAGAGTGTTCTTCATGTGTAACTACGACTCCCGCGTTGTCGTCCCCCCCTCTTCCCCTGCCAGCGGCCTCGATCCCCAGCAGAGTCGAGAGCCCTTGCGCGAGCCCGCTTGGATAGCTGCCCGCCGCCGGGGCGCCCGACTTGTCGCTCTTCCTCGGTGATGCCGCCAGTTGCTGTCGCCGCCGCTGGGTCACTGGAGTTGCTCTCTGAGGCCTCTCGCTCGTCTTGCGGGGTTGCAGCGAGCAGCCCGTAGGCTCCTCCGCGCCGAGCCTTGACGAGCGAGGAGCGCCACCCGGCAAGCACTGCCCTCGGCTCGGGGCATCGACGACAAGAGATCGGAGCGGGGCTCGTCTGGGTGCCATCTGTCGAAGAAGAAGCATCCACACAAACATAAACTTTTGGCGCTCCGCGCGGATTTCTTGGATCCGCGGTGGCCCCTCCCCTCGGCGGCGCCTCTGGCGCCGCCCCTGGCGCGCTCCGCGCGGCCAGCGCAGACCCGAGAAATCCGCAGGCAGCGCCACAAGCTTCTGTCTGTGGGTTTTTGTTCCTTCCTCTGACGGACGCTGTGGCGCGAGGCTCCCCCCAGCACTCAGGAGGGAAAAAACACAGACAATGAATCGCCGACTCCCAGGATGAGATGGGAAACTATGGGACGCGGGGGGGGAGACACAAGCCCAGAAGATATGGGAGAATATGGGGAAGCGTGTTATTTGTTTGTGTATATATATATAATATATTATATATAATATATATATATATCTATATATATATATATATGTGTGTGCCGCCCTGGCCCGCGGTGCCCTGGGCTGGGCGGCTGCCCCGACCGCGCCCGCGCCACGGCTGCTCTGCGTGCCCGCGCGGATGGCGCTGCGGCCGCACGCCGCGCGCCGCGCCTCTGCGGCCGTCAGGGGCAACGATTCCTCGTCTTCGTCCTCCTCCTCGTCCTCCTCCTCGTCCTCCTCGTCCTCCTCGTCCTCCTCCTCCTCCGCCTCCTCCTTCTCCTCCCCCTCCTCCTCTCCCCCTCCTCCTGCCCTCTCCTCCTCCTCCTCCTCTCCTCCTCCTCCCACTTTTCTCCCCCTCCCCTTTTCCTCCTCCTCCTCCTCTCTCCTCCTCCCTCCTCCTCCTCCTCCTCCTCCTCCTCCTCCTCCTCCTCCTCCCCTTCTCCTCCGCTTCCTCCTCCTCCTCCTCCTCTTCTTCCTCCTCCTCCTCCTCCCCCTCCCCCTTGTCCTCCCCCTCCTCCTCCTCCTCCTCCTCCTCCTCCTCCTCCTCCTCCTCCTCCCCCTTTTCCTCCCCCTCTTCATCCTCCTCCCCTTCCTGATCCTCCTCCCCTTCCTCATCCTCCTCCCCTTCCTCATCCTCCT